TGTCCTCCACATTTACTGAGAAGGACATATTGGTCCACCTTTATTTGGTGTTGCAAGGCAGAGCGCTGGAGTTCTAACCTGAGATCGAACTCGAACGAAGTAAGCCCAACGAGTTCAGTCGGATTTTGGGCAGTGAACTATGTTAATTGAGCGGGTCCGATAGCTCCATGTGCTTGGAGAGAGACAGAGAGAGACAGAGAGAGAGAGAGAGAGAGAGAGAGAGAGAGAGAGAGAGAGAGAGAGAGAGACACAGAGAGAGAGAGAGAGAGAGAGAGAGAGACACAGAGAGAGAGACAGAGAGAGACAGAGAGAGAGAGAGAGAGAGAGAGAGAGACAGAGAGAGAGACACAGAGAGAGAGACACAGAGAGAGAGAGAGAGAGAGAGAGAGAGAGAGAGAGAGACTTTAAAACTCAGTGGGGGGAGTAGAGGGAGGTGGAGTGTACAGTCGGTAAAGACGGCTCTCCTTGCCCTGCCTCCAACATGCCTCCATCTAAATAGGATAGATTATCCTGAGTTATCTCTGTAGTTATGCTGCTATAGGCTTAGACTGCTGGAGGATACACTGACCACTTTTCACACTCTACTGCTTTCTTCTACAATCTGCTCTTTAACTGTATTATTTTCTGCAATTTCAGCTGTTAACTTTATTTTCTCTGTAAGTGTTTTTCTCCCCAGAAAAAGCTACAATGACGTTCTGCTGAGCTGTGGTGGCCTCATGAAGGGGGCCATCGACTAACACACTGCTGCTAACCACTTAAACATTCTCCCTCTCCTGACAATAACTTTTTGCTTTCCTTGACGTTGGATGTGCTACTACTAGTTTACCCGTTTAATTGTAGATTCACTAGGATAAATACAATAAAGTTTATCTCTCACCAAACAGAATATTTACTAAGAAATCACAATGTAACAATAGAAACATTACTTTGTCGTGTGTGTGTGTGTGTGTGTGTGTGTGTGTGTGTGTGTGTGTGTGTGTGTGTGTGTGTGTGTGTGCGTGCGTGTGCGTGTGTGTGGCGTCTAATCGTCGGTCTCTTATTTACAGACAGAGAATCTTACAGGAGCGAGTCAAATAGAAGTTATTGTTAAACTTAATTATTTTGTTTCATGGTGTTAAATTCATCTTAAATTAAAACTGGGAGGAAGCTTTGGTTCATTTTAAGTAACAGGAGATCTTGTTTCCTATCTGCTCCTCCAGAGTCACCATGGACATGAGGAGATAATAAAAGTCACACAGCAGATGTTTGTGAAAAGGTTTGTAGTTAGCTGGTTAGTGAAGGAGATTCATCAGCTGGGTAGGCTGTCATTTAATCCTAACTAAGCCCACAGCCTCCTGCTGGTCTCATTATTATTATCAGCAATAATGAAACAAACATCTCAATTATTGGAAGGTTAGGATTAGATTTTTTTGTTTGATTCATGCTCCAATATTTCTGATATTAGACCGTTGGGTTCAAACTAAATAACAAGCTAAGCAAAACATTTCATTTGGTGTTATTTATTTTTTATGCCCTTGAACTGTAGCATAAATGGGATCGATAACAGCTCCCGCTAGGGGTATTCTGCTGTTGTGTCCTTGGGCAAGACACTTCACCCAACTTTTCTGTGTTGGTCAGAGGGGCTGACGGTGCTATATGGCTGCCTTGCCTGTCAGACCGCCCCAGGGCGGCTGTGGCTGCATAGTAGCTTATCATCACTGGCAGTGTGTGAACGTTTGAGTGCATGAAAGCATCTTTGAGTGTCCTAAAAAGCATTATAGAAGTTTGTATTATTATTATTATCATCATCATTAAATATTTTAGCCTAAAGCTGCTCAGACATTAAAAGTTAATAAACACTCACCTAAAGGATTATTAGGAACACCATACTAATACGGTGTTTGACCCCCTTTCGCCTTCAGAACTGCCTTAATTCTACTAATAACTAATAAACTAACTTTAATATCTTTTGTCTTTACGGTAAAGCAGATCCTCAGAGCCGTCGATGATCCCTGACTGCTGATGCGTGGACCAGCCGTGCTACAGAGGCGTACCTCGGTGTGTTCTGCCATTTCCTGAGTTAAGATTGGAAGATGAAGCGCTTCAACCTTGCCACCATGCCTCTTGTGAACACAAGTTTTTTTTTTTAGTACAATTTATTTTTGGTTTTAGGTGCCTACATCCATCTGACTGTAGTAGGGTTGGGCATCGTTTGATTTTGAACGATTCCGATTCCTCATTTCGATTCTGGTTCCTATCGATTCCCAATTTCGATTCATTGAAGACATGACATGCTTTACATGAGCCAGCTAACCACAGGCCCTGCTTGATGAAATAATCTTAACTTCAACATAAATTTTAATTCTATGAACAATAACATCACCTTCATTTAGACAAAAACATGTTTTGGAGAAAAAAGAAGACGACTTACAGCACAACCAGTGTGTTTGTTTCTGACCACAACCAAAGTCTGGAAGAAGCCTCTGGGATGAGAGGCTAAATGTCTCCAACATATCCAGAAACGTCCAGCTGTTTTCAGCTAAAACTCTCAGGATGATCATGTCCAGGATGACTGAGAACTACACCTCCATGCTGCAGCAGTGTTCAGTCAGAACAGAAACTTAAATGTAGCTGCTGTCAGTAACAATCTAACAGATTTTAAACATTAAAACTCAACAGAAATAGTTCAGAAAGGAAATTAAAATGCTATTTATTATTATTCTAATTATTTACTGGCAGAAGTTGGTGTGGTCCACCACAGAGAAAGCTGCTCTAGCATGAAGACTTTAATTATTCTACAGGTTATTGTTCAGCCTTCTGACGCTCACGTGTCTGACTGCTGACGCTCCGTGTGTGTTTTTATTTCTGCAGTGAGACAAACTCACCTCACACCATCCAGAGTTTGTTATTTAAAGCTTCTATTAAATCCACCGTGTTGACGTATTTTAACAAGTTTACTCTACGCTGCAGGAGTTAAAGTTTACATTACGGAGTAAAGGTTCGGCAGATACGATTGTTTATATTTGGCCGATGCGCACCGGGGGGGGGGACTCGGTGCTGCAGACAGACAGCTGGTGTGATCAGCTCTGAAAAGCGTTGATCACAATTTGCAGATCACATTTATTTTTCACGGAGATCGGCCGCAGATTCCTCTTCCGTCGGCATTCTAGGAATCGAAATAAAAAACGTTGAGCGATTCCGGGAAAAATGAACAGTTGGAACCGGTTCCAATCGATGCTCGATTCTCGATGCCCAAACTTAGACTGTAGCATTTGTATTAACAGGTTACAACATTAATTAAAAGTTGTTTGATAAGCTATCATCATATCTTTATTATTAGATGGTACATAGCTGATCATACTTCAAACTAGAAGCTAATGATGGGTATATTAGAGCATCCTGGTGCAATAAGCTAAACTTTAATGAATGACAAGACTAGTCGTAGGGCTGCACAATATTTTGAAAAATTATCGTCATCGGGATAACAGGACGTGCGATAGGCCCATCGCAAAGCACATCAAAAACGGCGATAAATGTTTGGTTTAAACATTTCCATCCGTGTCATACATCAGCTTTTTGTAAACCAGCTCTGTTTTTTACGCTGAAGTATTATTTGACCAATCAAATGTAGCCCTTCTGATATGCGGCCAATCAGATGGGTCCGTTCACGTAATACGCCCGCCCCCTACGTAGACCCTTAGGCTGGGAAGCAACACCCGAACCGAGTTAGCGGCGCCGTTCCCTTGTTCGTCATGCTGGCTCAGAGCAACAAACGCACTTTGTGCTGATGTTTCTGGATTCAGCGCTGCTTTCAAACGTGAACGTGACTCCGCTCGGTGTCGTTAAGCAGCTGATAATAACCGGGCTGACTCTGACACGTGCCGGTGAACCAACCCACCTCCCTCCATGTCGCTAGTGTTCCACCGGGTGGTGGCTCCGGTTAGCTTCCAGCTAAAAGGCTACAGCACTCTCCTCCCAGTCCCACCCTGCTAAAGAGGGCCTGGAAAAGTTCCCCCACACATCAAAGTGATTTTTCATTTATGAGCTTTTATAACCTTGTTAATCAGGATAGTTGATTTGCTGCTGCACATAAAACTGTCAGTCAGAAGCTCTGCTAGCCGGTTATCTTAAGAGGAGCTAGTTCAATTTGTTAGCTTGTTATCAGAATCATAGTTGCAGTTTCATCGTCTAAGCTGCTTTTTAAGATCTAGGTAAACTTGTTCAATTTGGGGTTAAAAACAAACGTTTTCACATATTTTCCATGTAGTTTTTTTGCCAGTTCCTCTTCTGAAAGGTAGACAATTAAAGGAAGACAATTGTTTTTCTCTTTCCTTCAGAAAATCTTAATATTCTCCTAGTTTGGCCCGGCACAGTTCACTTCCCAATTGCAGCAACAGCTTTATATCATAACCACATAAGTGGAGAAAATGTTCAGTAGCAATGAGAGAATTTGTTGTTGCATTTAAGTGATGTTAACTATTATTTAACGTTTAAACTTATTTTCTGGTATTTTTATTTATTCTAAAAACCCTGGTAAGGAATGTTTTTCTGTATTTGGAGCATCAGAAAAAGTTTGATGGTGGAGGTGATGTTTTAAAGTCACTGAGAAACTGCATGCATGCAGTTTGTTGTTTTGCTGCTAATACAGTAGCAGGTGCAGCTGCATATTTTTACAATAAAAATGTTATGTTGTAATGGAATTCATGCATTAGTTTTTGTTTGCTTTGAACCCAGAGCAGACGTCACACGCCAGACGACATCAACACCGCATACTTTAGTATCTATTCATTTATCGTGAGTAATATCAATATCGCAATATTAAGCACTGTTAACGAATATCGCAGGTTTTCCTAATATCGTGCAGCCCTAATTAGTCGACTAATCGTCAACAAAACTGGCGATTAGTCGACTACTAAAATAGTCGTTTGTGGCAGCCCTAGATGTGAGGAAAATAAACAGACCTGTAACGTTTGGAGCATGTAGGTGTCATTTTAAAGTGGACAAAGAAGTGCAGTTCTCACCTCCACACAATCAAATGTGTCGGTGACTTTTGAGGAATATTTCACTTTGAAGAGGGTGCTCAGGTTTCCAGCGGTGTAGAAGATCTTCATCTGAAGACCTTTGTATCCAAAAGCCACTTCACTGCAAGGAGAAAGTTGTTCAAATTTATAAATGTCAGAAAGTAGGCTAATTGGTGGATTACACTACTTTTCCAATAATAATAATATTAATAAATATCTATTTTTCAGCAATATTTCAGAAAATAACCACCAGATTTTCTTTTTGAACAAAATCTGTGAGCGTACACCTGGAGGCTCTAACAAATGTTTCCTTGGGGGACTTGTTTCACTGTGCATCACTATGATATAATAATGAAAATAAAAAAAACACACTATGACAAAACAGATTCATCATTATGCAACAGTGCGATTAAAGTTTACTAGCAATTAACGCTTGAAGAAATAATTAATGCCCCAATTACAGAGTTCCCTTTGAGCTGATTGCAGCAAGCGCAAAAAGAACCAATCCTAGTTTTGACTCATTTGGAAGTGCAATTTAGAGCCAATGCTAGAGACAGGTGTCACGGCTAATGATGTAGCATTACTCGTGTTCACACCAGTCTCTTCTGAGTAACTAATTATAATAATATTTTAATGCACAAACTGTAAGATAAAAGAGGATGAGCCACAGCTGACACATGAGGCATATTATATAAACAAGTTCACCTAAACATGAAAAGTAGATTTGGTCAGGTTAATCAAGTTTTGTATTTATTTTAAAGACAGCTAACCAAAACGAGGGATGGGCTGGGGGTAAATCATTATTTTTAAAACGATTATTCTGACGATTATTTTATCAAATAGTCGACTACTCTAATGACTATTTAGATGATTAATCTAGCGATTATTTTTCTATTGCACAATTAATAAAAACCAAAAAATCTCAAATAAATTCCTCAAAAAAATTGATAAATTGTTACTGTGAGAGAATAAACACTACAGGCCTTCCATTTTGTATAACACTGCTTTTATTGTGTTGCGGTTGGTTATGTTCTGGTGACGTGTAGAACTTGGAAGTGCAGGCTGCTGCCTGAGAGGTGGTTGGAGACAGAGTGTCTCCATGCTGCTTTGATTTGGTCACTTATGTGCGTGAGGCGAGTGGTGTTACGACCCTTCCTGGGGAGTTTGGCTCGTGTGCAAAAAGGAAGGGACAATAACGGGATTTAAAAGTTAAAATGATGATCAGGTTTATTTACAAAAAAAAAAACTAAATCTTTCCATCCACAGGTTGGGAATAATAAAACTAATTCTGCCTGTGGGGAATTAAAACAAAAGTAGAAATAACCTGGGATGTCCCACTGGGCAAAGATTACAGGGTTCTGGACCAAAATAAGGATCTCCAAAGGTCCAAACTCTAAACTGGGTGGTTAAACCAAACTCAGGTGATATTTTAAACTAAACCAAAAACCCACAACACTCTAAATGTAATAAAAGGGAAATCTACACCACAAAAACGATGAACTCTAAACCAAAGCATAACAGCTTATCCAAACGCAAGAAGCTGTTAGCAAAAATGCTAACAGTAGCTTTACCAACGTTAAGTTCAAGTTACCAAGTTTAAATAAACCAAAAACACCCAGCAGCAAACAGACCAGCATGGAGGAGAGACTGCTACCACCAAAACAGCTCTCCTAATGTCTGAAAGAAGCTCCTTTATGAAGGTAGAAACGCTCCCGGTGATTTTCTACATCTGCTGTAGAGACGGAGCAGCACATCTGACCCCGGAAGTTGTTGTCCGTTGCCGGGAGACGAAGGCGGGCAAAACAGGAAAATAATCTAGTAGTGGACGGACATTGTTCCGGGTCTTCGGTATTTGGCGGAGATGTTAGTGAAGGCGGAGAAGAGGGTGAACTAGAGGAAAAACAGGCAGATTCCTCCTCCATTTACAAACTCCTGGGGATGCAACAAGTGGGCGTGGTGCGTCGACTACCGGATCTGACGTCGACAAATTTTTAGAATCGAGCCGTCGACGTCATCGATGCGTCGCCACAACTCTAGATTCATGAAATATTTTTTAGAAACGCACCTGCTGGGTTTAAGGCCAAAGTGAAGAGTTTAGGCCTGAAATTAGGAAGCAGTTACCAGAATTTGGAGCTAGGTTTGTTTAGTTCAACCAGAGACATTTGGGGATGCGAGTCTTCCATTGCTGTCATTTTGTGGATCAGACATTAAAACGTTTTAGTCTAGAAGTCTAGACAAACCGTAATAGGAGCAAAAGATTTCCCTCTGTACATCAGACTAGCCACACTCCATTGTTGCCTCGGCAGGTCTACCGTTGGGCTTGTCTGAGTTTAGGCCAGGCCAGTCTTTGTAGAGACGTTGGACCATTACAGCTAAGCTTTTTTCTTTTATGATGACGACAGAGCTGCAATGGAGCAAAACTACTAAGATGGTGGCAGCTCAGATTTGGACAATTTAGACTTGGGTTTTTCTTTGAGACATTAGCAGATAGAGGTACTTTATTCGACGATGGATGGTGAACTGGCTCGTTAACTCATTTTCATCGCAATGAATAATTCACGTTGTTCGTTGCCCTGATCGGTCTTGGCACTGTCCAAAAGCGTGCGGAGACAGTTTGAAAAACAATCGTAGATTCTGCCCCTACGACTGTTCTGTCTAGGGTTGTGGCCAGACTATATATTTACATATATAGGATGACTTTCCAGGTTAAAATAAGTTTGGGAACCACTGATGATGTTACCAATCACCCATTACTCTTTCAGGCACTTAAACCTCATCTTAAAGATTAGGTTAAATGATAACTCAAACTAGCATAAAATAGATTTAAAAAAAGCATGAATTATTCTCTCTGTAATCTTAAACCGGCAGATTTCTCTCAAAACTACAGACAGAATGATGCTCAAACTGATTTTTGTAGATCTGATCATTTTTGCTGACAATTTCCAGAAATCTTGTATTGCATGCAGCTTTGCATCCCTTTGCTATACTTCAAGCTTTCCATCGATTTCTTCAGCTACTTCTACTGTGTGAATATTAAAAATGCACACCATATTTTCCAGATTATAAGTCGCACTTTTTTTCATGGTCTGGCTGGTCCTGCAACTTACATACCAAATTATGTATACCGCGCTGCTGCGGACCAGCTCCGGACCAGGAATAAGCTCCTCTGCCCCGCCATCACCTGCTGCAGCCTGTGGCGAGCTGCTGCGGACCGGGCGGCTCTGACCCAGGAATGAGCTCCCCTGTCCCACTGGGAAGGTTTCAAACACCGCCATCACCTGCTGCAGCTTGTGGCGGGGTGCTGCGGGCCGGCTCCGGCCCAGAAATGAGCTCTTCCCGCCCGCTGGGAGGGTTTGAAACACCACCATCCCCTGCTGGAGACCGTGGTGTGCTGCTGAGCCCTGGTTATTGTTACCGGTACTTGTCTTGCAATGTGAAATGCTTGGTCTCAGATTTTGTAAGAAAAATAATAAAATGTCCCCCCAAAATGTGACTTATATATGTTTTTTTTTTCTTCATTATACATTTTATGGCTGGTGCGACTTATACTCCAGAGCGACTTATACTCCAGAAAATACGGCTCTTGTATTTATTTGCTACAATATGAAGTAGTACACATAGTACATTCAAAAAGTTTGCCTATCATCACAACAGGTGCTTATATAATGAGAAAGAAGAAAACAACTCACTCGTCTCCAAATAGTTGGTGGCTGTACTCTGGGTGGAATGTGGTGCTGTCATCATCAACGTCCTCAGGAAAACGCACTGAGATGTAAATATTTTTTAAAAGAAGCAGTTATGATAGTCAGAATTTTTTTTTTACTTGTTCAAATGTATTTATATAAACGCAGCATGGAGAGACTCACCCAATTTCAGGCAGATTGCTTCATTGGTATCACACTTGTATTCAGCCAGTTTCTTCTCCATAGCATTTACCCCTGCGATAATACCACAGATCATATAGTTAAAATGTTTTTTTTAGCTTTAGCTCATGTGTGTAAGACTCTTGATATTTGATCTTTAATATGAAAGCAAAGCAGGTAAATCTATACCAGATTACTACAAAAATCACATCTGAATCAAAAAATCATTCTGCTTTACTCAGTTTTTCTATAATTAAAAGGTCACTTCACTGTAAATATCATAAATACCCTTGTTACTCCTAAAGAGAGGAAGATAGTGAGAAGTATCATGTGCGCTACTAGAATGAAGGAGAATCACAGCCTCAAAACGTTATTTCCTGATATTTAACAATACATTCAAACTCGGAATAAGCTTTATGTTTAGTTGTACCCTAAACATACATGACTCGATAGCCAACATTAGCACACACGGGCCCACTGCCTCATCCGCTAAGCTGTTAGCTCGTTTTACGCAGTTTTGAAGGCATTTGAAGTCGAGAAAGCGGGTCCAGCGTGTTGGTAGCAGCGCTGAATGTTGCCAACGGCTGAAATGTTTTCCAGTAAAAACCGAATCATTAAGAAAATGAAACATTTAGCCTCTTACCCGCCATTTCTGCTCAGTGTGTTGCACGGATCGGTGTTGTTGTCATGAAAGACCCGCGGAAACAGGGGAACATCCGGGTGACGTATTTCCGGCTAAACAGGATGTAAATTTCTCTCGTTGTTTTCTTTTTCTTTTTTCTTTCTTTTTTTATTTTATTTATGTTTTTACTGTTTTTGGCCAAAACATTTGTTTTTATTATTCAATTCAATTCAATTTCAATTCAAGTTTATTTATATAGCGCCAAATCACGACAAGAGTCGTCTCAAGGCACTTCACATAATAAACATTCCAACTCAGGTCAGTTCATTAAGCCAATCAGAAATAATGTTTTCTATATAAGGAACCCAGCAAATTGCATCAAGTCACTGACTAGTGTCAGTGACTTTACAGCATTCCTCATACTAAGCAAGCATAAAGCGATAGTGGAGAGGAAAACTCCCTTTTAACAGGAAGAAACCTCCAGAGAATCCTGGCTCAGTTTAAGCAGCCATCCTCCATGACTCACTGGGGATCGAGAAGACAGAGCAGGCACGCACACACACACACACACACACACACACACACACACACACACACACACACACACACACACACACACACACACACACACACACACACACAAAGGTAATGTGTCTATAGTTATATTGTGATGTCCTAGTAAATATTCTATTTGGTGAGAGATAAACTTTATTGTATTTATCCCAGTGGATCTATAATTAAACGAATAAACTAGTAGTAGCACATCCAACGTCAAAGTTATTATCAGGAGAGGAAGAATGTTTAAGTGGTTAGCAGCAGTGTGCTAGACAATGGCCCCCTCCATGAGGCCACCACAGCTCAGCAGAACATTGTTGTAGCTTCTTCTGGGGAGAAAAACACAAAGAAAAAATAAAGTTAACAGCTGAAATTGCAGAAAATAATTCAGTTAAAGAGCAGATTGTAGAAGAAAGCAGTAGAGTGTGAAAAGTGGTCAGTGTGTCCTCCAGCAGTCTACGCCTATAGCAGCATAACTACAGAGATAACTCAAGATAATCTATCCTATTTAGATGGAGGCATGTTGGAGGCAGGGCAAGGAAGAGCTGTCTTTACCGACTGTACACTCCACCTCCCTCTACTCCCCCACTTGTCCAGATGTAGGCTAACATCAGATTTTAACCATAGGCCCTATCAAATGAAAATGTTTTAAGCCTATTCTTAAAAGTAAACAAAGTGTCTGCCTCACGGACTAAGGCTGGGAGCTGGTTCCACAGGAGAGGAGCCTGATAACTAAAAGATCTGCCCCCATCCTAATTTTAGATATTCTGGGAACCACCAGTAGACCTGCAGTCTGAGAGCGAAGTGCTCGGTTAGGAACGTATGGAACAATCAGATCACTGATGTATGATGGAGCTTGATTATTAAGAGCTTTATATGTGAGAAGGAGGATCTTAAAATCTATTCTGAATTTAACAGGTAGCCAATGTAGGGAAGCTAAGACAGGAGAGATATGATCTCTCTTTGTAATTCTCATCAGAACTCTAGCTGCAGCATTTTGGACAAGCTGAAGTCTTTTAACTACATTCTGTGGACTTCCTGAGAGTAATGAATTACAGTAATCCAGTCTTGATGTAATAAATGCATGAACTAGTTTTTCAGCATCACTCCTGGAAAGGATGCTTCTAATCTTAGCAATATTCCGAAGGTGGAAAAAGGAAGTCCTTTAAACCTGTTTAACCTGGGATTTGAATGACATGTCCTGGTCAAAGATGACACCAAGGTTCCTTACTTTGTTCTCGGAGATTAATGTAATGCCATTCAGGTCAGGTGATTGGCTAAGCAATTTCCTTTTCTGGATTTCTGGTCCAAAGATGAGAACTTCCGTCTTGTCTTGATTTAAAAACAAAAAGTTTAGTCATCCAATTTTTTATGTCCTCAAGACAAGCTTGTAATCCACCCAACCAATTTGGTTCATCAGGGTTAATGGATAAATATAACTGAGTATCGTCAGCATAACAGTGGAAGTTTATCCCATGCTGTCTAATGATTTTACCAATTGGGAGCATATATATAGTAAAAAGAATTGTTCCAAGCACTGAACCCTGTGATACTCCACAAGTAACCCAGGATATGAAGACGATTTGTCATGTACATTTACAAAATGAAATCTGTCAGACAGGTAGGATTTAAAACAGCCTAACGCTGTTCCTTTGATCCCTACAACATGTTCAAGTCTTTCTAAAAGAACATTGTGATCAACTGTGTCAAAGGCAGCACTGAGATCTAACAAGACTAGAACAGACACAAGAGCCTTATCTGAGGCCATGAGAATATCATTTGTAACTCTCACCAACGCAGTTTCAGTGCTGTGATACTCTCTAAAACCAGACTGAAATTCCTCAAACAGAGCATTAGTGTTTAAATGCTCACATACTTGGATGGCCACTATTTTCTCCAGGACTTTGGATAAAAATGGAAGGTTAGATATTGGTCTGTAATTCATTGGGTCATCTGGATCCAGAGAAGGCTTCTTAAGTGAAGGTTTGATTACAGCAACCTTAAAATCTTGTGGTACATACCCATTTACTAAGGATAGATTGATTATATCTAGAATGGGGGCAGTAACCAAAGGAAATGCTTCTTTAAATAATTTGGTTGGGATTGGATCCAAAATGCAAGTTGAAGGTTAAGAAACTTTTGATGAAGCTAATATTTTTGATAAATCTGAAAGCTCAACTGGATCAAAACGGTTCAAGCACAGATGAGGTTCCACAGTCAACTCTGATGCTGCCTCACTTACTGAGGAAGAAGAAATCACATTAGGGAGGATGCTAAAGATTTTGTTTCTAATAGAATTAATTTTACTTGTAAAAAATCCCATGAAGTCATTGCTGCTGAGGGCTAAGGGAATAGATGGCTCGGAGCTATGATTCTGTGTAAGTTTGGCAACTGTACTGAAAAGAAATTTAGGATTATGCTTATTCTCCTCAATTAGTGCTGAGAAATAAGCAGTTCTAGTTTGTCGAAGCTTATTTTTATAAAGCACAAGACTATTTTTCCAGGATAGGTAGGCCTCCTCATGGTGCGCAGAGCGCCATGTTGTCTCCAATTTCCTAGTTTTGTTTTAAGGCTCGTAAATGAGAATTAAACCAGGGAGTCAACTTCCTGTCCCTAATTACCTTCTTTTTTAAAGGGGCAATATCATCTAATGCCACACGTAAAGAGAAATTAACATGATGAACTAATGCATCAATTTGTGAGGGGCTAGAACTGAAAATATAGCCCTCTGCTACATGCCTCTGATATGCTGAGGACAGTAAAGATGGAACAGTTGATTTAAAAGATGCAACTGCATTGTCAGATAGAGACCGACTATAGTGAAATTTACTTTCATGTCTCGAGAACTCAATTATAAAAAACTCAAAGGTTATCAGAAAGTGGTCCGAGAGGACTGGATTATGTGGAAAGATTGTTATTTCCTCACAGTCTATGCCATAAGTCAGCACAAGGTCCAATGTATGATGGCAGGAGTGGGTGGAGCTATGTATTCTTTGAGTAAAACCAATTGAGTCCAAGATATTACTAAAGGTTACATTGAGGCTATCATTTTCAATGTCCACATGAATGTTAAAATCCCCCACTACAATGACCTTATCAGTATTTAGCACCAAATCAGATAAAAAATCAGAGATCTGATCCAAAAACTCAGAGTAAGGGCCTGGTGGACGATATAAAACTACAAACAAGAGTGGTTTTACAGTTTTGCAATCTGGATTAGGAAAACTAAGAATAAGATGTTCGAACGAACGGTAGCTATTAATTGGTAAGGGACTGATTAATAAGTCCGAATGAAAAATGGTTGCTACTCCTCCTCCTCGCCCTGTACTTCGAGCAATATGATGATTTAAATAATTTGAAGGAGTCGACTTATTTAAGCTAACATAGTCCTCTTGCTGCAGCCAGGATTCTGTGAGAGAGAGCAAAGAGAAAGCTCCGTAATTAACTTCAAATGAGCCATGTTTTCTGGAGAAAATATTTAAAACACTGTCATATTATTTTGATATAAAAATCCTGAACCTACTATGTTGTTCCACTTTTGACCTAATTAAGTGTTGAGGTTTTTATCAATGCAATGTCATACAATCAAGATAGTTTTTTAGAATATTCCTCTGACTCCAAAAATAGGGTGATACCTTTTAGAACTTCAGGATGACATTCATTGGAGGGTTTTATAAATTCCCATCTGGTCTCAGGATTATATTATTTGGTACATTCAAGTCTGTAACTCTTGGTTAAAAAAATCTAAGAGAAGACATCAAAATCTACAGAAAATGCACACTTTTTCCATTATGCCAAAAATAAATCAAAGAAAGTCACAGATGACAGAATTCGCAAGACAAAACTAACAACTAATTTTAAAGTATATATTTATTCAAGTCTAATTGATGGCTTGTTTCTGTCAAATCAAGAAGAGGAAACAATTAAAGAATCATTCAAAACAAAATGCACCTGGCTGATTGGCAGAAAGTGTGCTCCCAAAAGGGTGTCTGGTGAAACAATGGAGAAGCTCAAGTAGAGTCAACTTGGAGTGTGTGAAATGATGCTCATTGTTCACTGTCAGCTGTTTTTAAATACAGAGAAGGTGCAAACCAAATTAAAAGACGGGTAAAGGGAAAATACCAAAAAAGACATTGAAACACAAAGACAGAAAAACAAGACGTCTCATCAAAATAGTTTTTGTTTATTTGCTTTTTATAATAAAATCTCACCCTAAAAGTGCTCCTGTGTATTTTTACCAGGTGATTGTAATACAGACCACCAGAGAAAAACAAAACTAAAGCTTAAAGATCATATAAATTGTTCAAAAATATTAGTTAAACAATATTAAAACAAACAAAATAAGCAGCTCATAACATTCATCAACAGCTCAGAATGTTTTTAAAACATGTAAAATGACAGAGCAACATCAGAATAGAACACAATAAAAACAGAATATTAACACCTTTTTGAAATTGTGACATTTTCATTCGTGGGTGGATCTAAAACGTTTATGATAATTTTGGAACCACATTTTAAATACACAATAGTTTTGAGTGAATTTCAGAGATACAGCATCTCCACATTATCCTGTTGTTGAAAAGTTAAGCTAACATCTTGTTAATGGATGCTGTCACGCTGGAACCAGAGTCAATGCACTGAGAACATGGCGCTGAATGTCCCCCTAGACTCAATTATGGTGCTTTTTAACAGTTAATAATTACATGTGTTTTAAAATGAACGTAGTTAAATGCAGAAACTAAGTGAATCAGCAAAGTCAGTTGGAAAACAAATTAACTGAATCGATGCATTTTCATTTTTTAACAGCTAATTGTTCTGTCCAGTGGGGTTTGAATCTTGAATTGGAATCTGGCCATATGTGGCTGCAACGACCCAGCAAATGATCTGTCACCTTTGGTCTTTAGCCTGGTGCGCTGCACAACCAGTAGGCTTTGATCACTGGACCTCAGGGACCTGCTGAGGGTGTAGGGATTAAGAAGATCACCAATGTAAGATGGTGCTTGTCCATGTAAGGCCTTATAGACCAGAACCAGGATCTTGAAATGAACCCTGAGGTTGACTGGCAGCCAATGAAGCTGGAGGAGAAGCGGGGTGATGTGGGTGTGTTTGGAGGACTTGGTCAGAAGCCGAGCACAGGCATTCTGAACTACCTGTAGACGGTTCAGGGAGGTTCTGCTCAGACACGTGAAAAGAGTTGCAGTAGTCTAAGCGTGAGGAGATGAAGGTGTAGATAACTGTCTCAAGTTCAGAGCGGGACAGAATGGGACTCAGCTTTGCAATGTTCCTGAGATGGAAGAAGGAAGAGCGAACAAGAGAACTGACATGAGAATTCAGGGTGAGAGCTGGGTCAAAGGTCACACCAAGATTCCTGACGGAAGGTTTGGTGTGAGAAGCAAGCTGACCAAGAGAGTCTCTGACTTTGGGAACCAGCTTGTCTGGAGCACAGATGAGGATCTCAGTCTTATCTTCATTCAGTTGTTGAAAGCTCCCAGCCATCCAGGTTTTAATAGTCTAAGCAGGTGTGTAACAGCTGCAGCTCAGACATCTCATGGGGCTTAAAGGAGATGTACAGTTGGATGTCATCTGCATAAAGATGGTGATTCCTTTGAAGGAGCTCAGGATGTGCTGAAGATGGAGGAGGAAGAGCAGAGGCCCCAGCACAGAACCTTGTGGGACACCATGGGTAAGGGAGGTGGTGGAGGACATAAACTTGGAGACGGCCACAGAAAAGGAGCGCTCAGAAAGATAAGAGGAGAACCACTCCAGAGCAGTTCCTGATAGGCTTACCCAGTCTCTCAACCTCTCCAGTAGCAGGTGATGGTCAACATTGTCAAAGGCTGCAGTCAGGTCCAGCAGGACCAGAACAGAACAGTCCCCTGCATCACTGTGAGTCAGAAGGTCATTAGAGACCCTAAGAAGAGCTGTTTCAGTAGAATGAGCTCTACGAAAACCTGACTGGAAGCTATCATAGATGTTATGTTCATCAAGAGCAGCTGTGAGTTGTTTAGCCACAACCTTTTCCAAGATCTTGGAGATGAACGGTAGTTTAGAGATGGGTCTGAAGCTGCTATGGAGAGAGGGGTCAAGACTCGATTTTTTAAGAAGCGGGTGGATTACAGTGTTCTTAAAAACTGACTGTAGTGTAAAGTGTAAAGTGCTTTGGAGTCCTCCAACTCCTGAAAGGTGCGACAGTGGTCGTTCCTTTATCACGGGTTTTACATTCTAAAAATTATTAACAATATGCAAAATCCGCATAATCAGCTTCATTTTTTACAATTATTAGACATGTCTGTAATGTACACAGCTATTGTTGGGGTACATACAGATACACACACACGAAAACACATCAGAATGTCTGTTTCTCAACAGTTTTATTTGCACATGCTCACTCCAGCGTTTCATTCTCTCGTCGTCACTTTGCAGACACTCTTGTCTGTATTTATCCTCCTAAAGACGTATAGGAGCGCTGATTACTAATGTGCTCCAGACGTGGCACGGTGCACTCTCCTCTCCTCCGCAGACGTGCTCGTCTCAGCCCACCGCCACAATATTTTAAGGCTGTAAAACCCCTCACTGCACACTTTATACACTTTTCTCAGACAGGCATCAACCTTTTCATACTTTTCTCTTTTGTTTATCTCAAAGTTCAAGCCTTTGTATTTGGACGCAGAAAACAATGTTCCAAAGTTCAAGTCATCTATCATTTGTTTTAAGTTCTGGATGTCTTCTTTATGCTGTGTAATCTGATATCATTGTACCTTCATGTTCAATCAGAATTTCTTGTGGAAAATACTTTCTCATTTTCAACAGATACATTATCAACACTTAAGTTGGACTTTTCTTTTCTTCTTTCCAAAAAGCTTCAGGAAAGTTCTCAGAACTGTTCAAAGGGTCAGTTTGTCAATTTAACTTATTAAAGAGTCAGAATAGCTTCCAGTCTGGGTTCATGCACCCCTTTGATCACCCGTGGATCAGCCCATGCCCTCATGCATATAGGTAAAGCACTTTTTCTTGTTTAATGTTGAAATTTGTTCCCTTTTCCGTAATAAAGGGACAGACGGACACATGACCTAAATGTGTAATTAAAATCTGAGGGAATTCAGCCATACCACTTGCTGTTTGTCTATTTAATTGTTTGCTTATTTTATTGTCTGGGGACCGGAAACACTGTAACACATCAGCTGTAGCTCCTCTCATCCCAGCGGCTCAATTAGAAAAAAAGGACAACACCTGGTTAAATATAGCTGAGTGTCTCAAGCATCCTCTGTCATGCCCGCGCGCTGGCATCCCGAAGCCCAGCGCGTGCGCTAGTTAGTCCACTGCAGCTGACGTCACATCCAGCATGGCGGTCAAGGTGACTCCCGTCAAAGATTTCTTATCAGAAATTAGTTTAAAAGGCAGGAAAAGCGGCGGCGAGCGTTGCGCTGTCGGATGTGGGAGGACCGCTCATCTGCGCGGACGTGCGGGTTTAGAGCGTCTATGTGAAACGCAGCGGAGCGACTTTAGCTCCGCATCCCGGCCTCGCTCAGGAGATCACTGTGATTTCTCTCTGATGCTTTTGTGTAACTGAGACTTTTGTTCCGAGGCTGATTTTGAGAGGAAACATCGCATTTCAGTTCGACTCGTGTCGTGCTTTTTATATTTATCAGCTGATTATTGAAAAAGTATTTTTATTCAGCGCTGAGATCAAACTTAAGACATCATCTGAGTTCTCTGACAGCATTTTTTTTAAATTCGGAATCAAACTTGTGTGTTACAGGTGCAAGCCACAAAAAGAGCTGACCCTCACGAGTTGAAGAATATCTTTCTTAAGGTAAGAGCATTTTAATAAAATAAAATAAAATCTAAAATATGTTTTTTATCTTAATTCTCACAAAACACACAGACCTTTACCCAACCAGCTCAGATCAATCCTGTCCTAAAGATCATTTCAAATGTGTTTACTACATTTGCCCAAACATTCACTTTTTTATTATTGTGTGCGATTTTGATGTCAAAACTTCTCCTGAAAGTTTAAACCAACTTCAACTCTTTGCCCTTCAAAAACTCACGTCACAAGTAGAGTTTGTTTACCCTTCATGCATCCTGTTTGGAGTGCAAACTTGCTCCTGAAAGTGAAAATCATTTTTACACTCAAGCCGTCTTATGGTTCAAATATAACAGGCATGCATAATTTTCATGTATTATCAGGTAAAAAGGGTTTAATTACTGGGAGCTTGTTCTGACTGCCTGGATAATTTGATTAAGAACTACTTGAGGCCCACTGTGAAGATGAATAGATATACAATTGTGCTGGGAAAAATATGGAAATAGATTGCTTTGAATTGATATTTTAATTTAAAATGTTAATTCAGCCAAGTGCGTTGAATTGCAGCCCTGTGAACATTTAGCGTTGGGGGGCTCTCTTCCCACACCCTCGACCTTCTTTATCAGAACTTGGCTCAGACCCATGAGTTTGGCCTTTCTGTTGCTGGTTCATGCCCCACTTCTGCTTCCAGAGCTATCTTGGTGCCAACTTGTAACCGTACCCATGCTCTATAAATGACTTTGCATCTTAAAGCCTGACTGAGATCAGATGTTGCTTTGGACATGTGGAGTAGAGTCTGTGCACAGCTCAAAGCTTAAAGGTCACAGCTTTAGATTATCTGTCCTGTATGCTGTGCATTGTGTCACTTCAAGTCATTTAATGGGATTTTACAGCAGCTCATCTTTTAAGAGATTCCAAACTGGTGAGTAAAGAGCATTTAAATGAATTCTCACCAGTTTAATCAAGTTTTGAATTATTCTTTTAGTGCATTTACCAGATAATTACTCATATAAAAGGATTTGAAAGGGAAATGTTTCAAATAAGCATGATGCATTTCATTACCGTCATTATAAGATGCAAAAAGGCCAAAAAATAATCTTTAGGATGAATAAAGTGAGATTCTTAAACAAAGCAATGTTACAAGGGAAAATGCATATAAAATACAATTTCTATAATTTTTCTGTGTGAAACTAGATGTCACTTCACCCCTGTAGTGTTTACAGCTCATCTCATGTCGCCCCCTCTGCAGTATGCCAGCGTGGTGCAGGATGGAGAGCATTACATGACCCCTAGAGACTTTGTGCAGAATTATTTGGGTCTGCACACACAGCCTCAGCACAACCCCAAAACCGTGGAGCTCGTAGCCGGAGTGGCTGACACAACTAAAGATGGGTGAGCTGCAGTCAACAAAATCTTCTTGTTTTCCCTGCAAGTATCTTTATTAGACAGTTTCAAGGTAGTGCTGCACTAAATAGGAAAATGTGCATTTGTGGATGAGGTGTCAATGTCAAAGATTGTTTAGAATAACTTTTTGTTAGTTGTATGTCCTTTATTTACATTTAAAACAAGAAAATGTAACATTTACTGTTTGTGTCACAAATTGAAATAATAAAAAAAATTACACTTAATTACCAAAAGGAAATTGTATAGCAGCTGATGGAAAGTGGATGTCTATGAGAGAGAGAGAGAGAGAGACAGAGAGAGAGAGAGAGAGAGAGCTTGATGAAGTCAGCAGAAACTGTCAATATTTCATTATTTTTGTTTCCTAGTATTAACTGAGCCAATGATGATGATAAAAACAGGAAGTGATGAATTTTATCAGAACATTAAACAGAAAAAAAAATCCCTGTTAGCAGATCAGTAACAGAATCATTTATTCACAACACGTCCACCATCTGTTGATAACAATCCATCCTCCTTTAGTTTGCAGCATGTGTCTACTCTTTCAGACTGAAATCAGTCCAAAATAGACTTTTAGGATGCTGGAATATCTTCCTGCTGCCATGTTTGAATATTGCATTCTCAGTTTTCCAATTTGATCCTGTTCAGCAGTGCAGGAAATTCCTTTTTTATCCTTAAAGGGAATGCATCTCTTTTTAAATGCATCTGTCTGATGCTCACGTGTGGAAACTCTCATCCCGTTGCCATGGTTGCCCACTATGATAGATGTTAGAAAGGCACCAAAGTTTTCTGCAGGAATGAATAATGCAGCTTCAGATAAACTCGTTTTTGCAAAAGATTACATTTAACATTTTTTTAATAACATCAGCTTTAAATCATTGCTGTCGGCCTTCCAGGAAGCAGGAAGGTGAAATGTGTGATTTTGTGGAAGCCTTATCTTCCTTTTTCTCCTCAATCTTCCAAACAGATTGATCTCTTTCCAAGAGTTTTTGGCCTTTGAATCAGTTCTGTGTGCTCCTGATGCCCTCTTCATCGTGGCCTTTCAGTTGTTTGATAAAACGGGCACAGGAAACATCTCATTCGGTACGTATGTTTGGTGGAAAATTCAAATATTAAAAAAAATGTAAAAATATGGCATCTCCACAATAAAGTCCAATTTGTGGGCTCGTCTAAAAAGAAAAGTAAGAGCAGCTATAAATATTATTTTTCTCATTAAGCATTTAGCTCATCAAGAGCTCTAAAATATCCAGCTTCTTTTGACACAAAGACAAATAATCTAGTTTGTCATAAAACAAGATATTTTGGAAAACAGTTTCCAGACTAATTAGAGTCTGGAGCCACGGATTTCTCCGATTTGCTTTTTAAAGTGACATTTTATTGAAGTAAAGAGAGATAACAACTCAGTGTTGGATTTCCTTCTGTTGTCTTTGTTTTGATTTGAACTTTTTATTGAACTCAGAAAATGTTCGTGACATCTTCAGCCAAACTACAGCTCATCACCACATCCCCTTCAACTGGAACTGCGAGTTCATCAGGCTGCACTTCGGCCACGAAAGAAACAAGAACCTCAGCTATGCAGAGTTCACTCAGTTTCTGCAGGTAGACCGCAAATAATAATAATCATAAAACAAAATGCTGTAGGATTTTTTTGTAGGCACTCCCTCCCTTAAAAATAAACATTTGAACAACTGATCATAAAAATTAGAATTGAAAATACAAAAATAAAGTTGAAGTATGATGAACAAGACAGATCTGCATGAAAGTTGCAGAAATAAGAAAAATAATTAATTTTTGTAAATATTTTTTCTTATTATATTTAGCTGATCCTGTATGTTTTTCCTGTGGGTATTTGGTTAATTGTTTTTTACATAATGTGGATATTTAATCATTATGATTAGTATCATCACAATAATTTTGTTTGATAAATAAAAAGTATTTGAGAGAAGGTTGGCATTCATAAGCTGCAGATCCCGCTTTCTCCTTTTTAACAGTTTGTTTTAAAAAAGTTTGCACATAAGTTTTTTATTCAGCATATTTGTTGTTGGTGTGTTTGTTTATGTTATGTTTAGTGTAAAATAATATGTTTAATCACATGATTGATTTAAATTTTAGTCAGTTTTTAGTCAAATTTAACCTAAAACATCAAAATTTTATCAGTTATTCTATAAAACAATTTAGAAATGTTTATTTCTTTGTAAAATTGTAAATTTTATATTTGCATTTTATTATCTGCGCACAAATTTGTACTGGATGTAGAAGACAAGCTAAGCTATAGCAAAACTAGCTTTAATTCCAGATTTCACCTTAATCTAAGGAGCTTTGAAAGAAAAGCGTCTGGACTTCTTTGAGTTGCTTGAAGAAGTTTCACCTCTCATCCGAGAGGCTTCTTCAGTTCTAAGGTCAAATGGTGGAGATCAAATGGATGCTTTTCTTTCAAAGCTCCTTAGACCTCAATGACCTGGATGACTGAGAACCTTCACAGACATTTCACCTTAATGAAAGATGCTCAGATGATCTGAAGCTGGAGATGAGAGTGAAGTTACATTAAAAAAAACGCTGAGTCTAATTTGGTTCAGCTGGTTGTTTGCTGTTTGCAGCATTAAAGATGCTCAAAACTTCAATTGGCTTTATCTGACATTACCTGTTTCTGAGTGAGACGTGAGTTCTTGTGCAGCAGCAGACCGAAGGAGGAACGTGGTTTGGAGTGGAGGGCCTTGCTCTCAGGAAGAAACTGGGTGGTCCTGGAGTTACACAGGCTGAGCTTCTTCCCCACTTCAGCGTGGGATCCCTCAGAGCACTTTGTGGTTTATTATACTTGACTAGAGGTTCCCACCGCTTTACCAAACGACCTCCACGTGAACAGGATTTCATTTACATGTCTTCATTTTTCTGTCATGATCATTGAGGGTTACGTTCTTCTCTGTGATAATTGAATTTTGGGCTATAATCCAATGACTTGGTTTTCCGAATCACACTGTGAGGATAAAGAAACAGCTCAGTGTTGCAGGATCTTCTGGTTTTGCACAATGAGCTCTGACAGCAGTTACTGACCTGGGCTCAGCCTCTTCCTACATCCCCGTCCTGATTGCACGCTTGCCATACTGAATCACCTCGTCACACACACACACACACATACATACACACACACACCCACACACACCATCTCTGCTCAGGGATCAGACTCCTTAAGATATGGTTTCCATTAGTGTTTGAAGATTATGAAGTCTTGTATTACTCTGTCACATCTGATGACTTTTATATCTATAACACTGATATCCAGTCCACTTTTTTCCCTTCAAAGTTTCCTTTTGTTGCAAACTTGCAAAGCAGTGCTCTTTGTCACAGGTACAAGTTCAGCTGTAAATTTTTTTTGGTGCCTGTGTGCTTCTGCAGGAGCTGCAGTTGGAGCATGCTCGCCAGGCGTTTGCACTTAAAGACGTGAACAAAACTGGCACCATCACTGCCTTGGACTTCAGCGACATCATGGCCACCATCAGGCACCACATGCTGACACCCTTTGTAGAAGAAAATCTGGTTTCAGTGAGTCGTAGAACACATTGATAGTATTATCTTACATTTAAAACAATCACAACAATCAAGATGATGCGACCAGTTCTGACATCGTTTGTTGGGGATGTTTCTGCAGGCTGCAGGAGGCGGCACCTCCCACATGGTGAGCTTCTCCTACTTTAATGCCTTCAATGCTCTCCTCAACAACATGGAGCTGATACGGAAGATCTACAGCACCCTCACTGGCACGCACAAAGACACACTGGTTACCAAAGGTACTCCTGAAAAATCTGCTGGGATTTTACATTTTGTTCTTTATCTGTGGTTGTATTTTTGACTGTATCAATAGCAGATGGGACATTTACTCTAGCACTAAATTACAAAGGTAAATAAACATTTTTAATCTGGTAATCTGAGTATTGTCACATACAGGTGCTTTATAATCCCAGTCTTGTTTGTTTACAATCTCCTCTCCCTACATGGTTTTCCTCCATGTAGAAAAAAACTCTACAAATACGATTTGCTAATAATTATTGTTATTTGTCACCAAACACTTCACGTATCCACCAGTTTTAAGCCAATGCTCACATGTCCATTTCAGTCACAGAAATATGTTAATACAGCACTCCACATCAGGCTTGAAAGCAAACAGTGCATCTGTTGAATCTGACAGGAAGGTCTTTGCAGAAATAAACAACTCTTTTCCTTTCTTCAACAACTACCATTAAGTTTCTTTTTAGAAAGACCACCTGATGGCTCCTGTGTTACTTAGCAGGCTGTGGTGAAAAGCTAAATTTGAAGAGAGTGCATGTTCACTTTGTGTATGGAGGGAGAAAGGGAGCTAAAGCGTGCACAGAACAAGTTTAATGGCTTGAAACACTTGTTGCAAGCTGTATTTTAGCTGCAATAGCGTTCATGCAAAGACAATAACATCAAAACAAGCGGTGGGATTTGCAAATATGATCAAATTGAAAATAGCCTAATGTTTTCAGCTCAGTTTGACGCTTTGAAAAATTTCAAGTCTTTTTCTTCTCTTTTTAGAGGAGTTTGTTCACGTCGCAAATAAGTTTGGTCAGATCACTCCGATGGAGATAGACATCCTGTTCCAGCTCGTCGGGCTCCACTCTCACTCCGGGTAAGATGCTGCGTCGCTGTAGTGAAACAGAGTTGCTCTGTTGACAAAGTTAACAGGTGATCCACTTAAAGGCCCCATGGGAAGAGTGCAGACAGCATCTGTTCCTTTGCACGGGTTTACAGAGACTAAAATTTTGCACATTCAGGGCATACTTATATCCTTGGCGTACTTCATGATTTATTAATAATCACCAAACTTATAAAATAATTTTTTTGTTTTTAAGGCCATGGTCTGTAGCAGGATGTCATCAAGGAAAATGAGAAGGAGATTTTAGATTTTGAAATGGCTAAAGCTCCTGGAGCTGAAAACCACACCACATACACATAATTAGCCTTGCAGCACAACAAACAAGTAGTGTTTTTGATATGCTCCTGCTCACACACACCTAATTCTTTCTGCTGAATTATTTCTTCAGCCTGCATCGGGTTCTGCAGGAGCTGGTAATTACCATTTTTATTCAAATCTGCAATGTTCAAGCAGGAAAACGTTTAAAACTGGCATGAATCCAGCATTTGTGATGCTAGCACACCTCTGCTAACACTACAAGAGGCTAAAACAACAGTTCAACATGGCGTGAGGTGGAATATGACGCTAATCACTTAGCTCCAACACACCAAAAAAGTAATTTTTTTCACTTCCCTACGCTTACACAGTTAGCTTAGACTTTACAGACTGACATTAATTCCGCAAAAGTTCAGTTAGCATTGAAGCTAGGTTGGTGTGCTAAACGGTGGGGTGCTTCTCAATTAGTGATGTGTCGGTCGCGAACGAACCGGCTCTAAGAGCCGGCTCTATGAAGTGAACGACGGGAGCCGGCTCGTCATTGGGGGCCGTCACCCTCCCTCCCCTCCCCCTCTCCTCTCTTGCTTTGGTGAAAGCCACAGGCGATTGGTCAACATGTGTAACTGCGTGTCCAGACTGTCCACACACACAGAGCAGCAGGGGTGGGGAAGAGGGAGGATCAGACTCAGACAGACACACAGCAGAGCGCATGCAGGCGGAGGGGGACGAGAGGGAATGAGGAGGAGGAAAAAGCGAGCGAGAGAGAGGAAAGTGCGCTGAAGACGGTGAGAAAATGGGCGACAGCAGTCGGAAAGTTGAGATTTCTTAAAGTGTTCAGTAAATAAGTCCATATAAATGATAAATATTTGATATATTGCATTTTTTTACATTAGTAAATCATTTTACATATAGTTTTGCATTATTTTTGGTGATAAATATACTTTACGCAACAGAAAATCTGAGGAGCCACTTGGGAGCCGAAAGAACCGGCTCTGTAAAAAGAGCCAGAATTCCCATCACTATTTTCAATGTCATAGTGCCTTGGTAGGCCAGGTGAGGCGCCATGCTTAAAGGACACTGTCCTTCCTTGGTCAAAGGAAACTGTTAAATGGAACAGACCTACCTAATGTCACATCACATAACACCTGAGGTAAAGTTATATTTTATGATGAGCCTTTTCCTCTTTAATTGTGTAAATATTGGTTAAATTAAATATGTAAGTGAGTTACTACCTGCTAGCCACTGAAGCTGCCACTACTAAACAACTAACCAATCCTAGATAACTGCTTTGAACCAGAGTCATCAATAATTATCACACTTTGCATACTTTTTTGTGAATACAAACCACCCAGATTAAAACTGCACATTTGCCTCAATTTTCTGCAAGTTTCATTTAAAGGGATTCACAAAGGTTTTACGAAATGTTTTGTTTTTATTCTGAGGTGAATAAATCTGTTATAGGTCTTTTTACTGGCTGTAAAGATATTATTGCTCATTTAGTTTTGCAGCAGTGGCTCCACCGGCTGATTTTATAAGACGAACATAAAACATAGATACAGACTTTATGATGCACTGAGCCAGCGGGGAGCATTTGTGTCTCGAACATTCAGTAACAAAACACTTTCATTTACTCGCCGGGCCATGGGATCTGCTCCAGCTTTGTTTGTCTGTTGTTTATATAAGCTTGAATTAAAGTTCCAGTAACTTTTGAGTTATACGGCTGTAAAAGAGCCTGTGGAAAATCTTACATCACCATAGATCCAGGGTTTTTTCTGCTTTTTCCTGGCCTAACTCCCACTCTCTTTCTTTCTCCCCCATGGTGTTTTTCGTTAAGGCGTCTGAATCACACAGACATCGAAAGAGTCGCCCCGCTGGAAGAAGGAGCCATGCCGTACCACCTAGCAGAAACCCAGAGACCGGTAGCCTGAGTGCCTCCTCTAATACGCCTCACATCCTCCTTTTGCCTTTCATCAAAGCCTTTTCCTCTTCTTTTTCTGCTTCCCTTTCAGAAAGGAGCAAAAAAAAAAAAAAAAAAGGCAGAATGTTCAGTCACTGAATTAGCAGAGAGCCCGTGTTTTTCTTCCCTTGTGAAGTGCATTTCTTAAACTCCCAGATAAAAGTACACCAATTATAGTCATAGAAGAGGAATGGATTGTTGCGTTGCAGCTCTCCATGAAAGGCTCTTCCTATTTTATTCAGTATGGTGGCACATACGCATCAGCTGCAATCACACATCTAAGGCGCTTAATAAGAGGCTTTTATCACCATGGGGCTCGAGAAGTTTTAGAAGCCTTTAGCAAAGTCCGCTAATGGCAGGAGGGGAGTGGGAGGCAAGGTGGACGTGGGAGAACAAAATGCTTCCACCGGATAACACGGCTCTGTGTCACGCTGTTGTCAGAGCTTTCAGGACACTCATGCTCCCGAGACTCTCGCCCAGAGGTCTGGAATTTGATTCCTTTGGGGGGGTGCCGCAGCTCTCAGGCCTGCCCTTCGGTGGAAGTTGACTAATTGTTTAAAGCCTTTGATCAAGACCTCAATCTTGTTAGCATGCGGCCCTCGGTGGAAGCATCTGGGAAGAGGAAAAGGGCGATCTGCTTTACTTAACACACACACACACGCACACGCACGCACGCACACACACACACACACACACACACACACACACACACACCAACTGAGCCCAACTGTGTAATATTCATGTAGATTCTTATCTGTACATGGAAAAAGGTCGTTGGGCTAATCGGTTCCCCAAAACAAACAAGCTCTGCTTTCAACACCAAATGCCGATCCAGAGATTGAGTAGATAAAAGAGAAATAAAACTTTGCAACGAAATAAAAATAAAAATCTCTAAGTTGGTCGGCTACACCTTCTCAGTTATCCCCTGAGCTAATCTTCCTCTGACATTGAATACACGCCGCTGATGAATCAGACAGAAACGTCTGCATTCCTTCGCCTCGTTATGCTCTACCATAACATTTTTCTTTCCACAATGTATCTGGTTCACTGTGGCTTTAATAGCCAGCTCTGATCCCCCCCTTCTGTCTTTCTCCAGATTCGTCTGACTGCTGGTGTCTTTTTCCCCCCATACAGCACGCTCACGAAACGTCCCGGTCAGTCTGGCTCCAGGCTGCAGAATCTGCCTACAGGTTCACTCTGGGCTCAATCGCTGGAGGTGAGTGACATGTCTGCGGCGGAGCCCCCAGCTCGCCCGAGGGGTAACTCTAGCCGACCGACTGGTGCTCTGAGGCCCTGGGGCCGACCATTGTGTTTCATGGAGAGGGACTGGAGAGGGACTGTTATGTGAGGCTCCGGCATTGTGCTGCCGTGCCTCCGGTGGCTCCAGGCTGTCGTTGGAGACGGAGCCTTGGAATGACACAAATCTTCTGGAACCGCACTCCCTGGAATCTCCCTCTCTTAATTACACCAGAGGGAGCTGATACAAGGAACCTCTGACATAACTGCCCCACAGATCGATGGTCTGATCTGCGTCTATGTGTGTGTGTGTGTGTTTTAGTTCACACGAACAATTTTTCAGATTTAATACTGTACCCAGTACACAGCTGATAGATCAGGTTTATAGGATGGTACATGCTCTGAAATAGTTTTCCAACTCTTTTATTTTTTATTTTTTAAGTTTCTTTATTGACATTGTTTGTCCCATTTTTCTTTCTAGAGCAGCTGTTCCCAAAGTTGTGGTCCGGCCCCTTCTGTGGGTCACTAAGGGCCATACTGGGTGTCTTGAAGCTATATTTCTAGAATAATTGTTACAAACATTCAACTAAATTATCATAAATTAAGTTTAAGTTCATTTGAACGGACACGTTTTTCTTTATGCCCTGAATAATTTAACTTTTCACCCACTTTTTTACTGTCAAATCAGAAATATCTGGGGTCGTGTGACTTGACAATTGCCATTTTCGTGTCTTGAGCTGAAACGTCTGGTTTCGCAAACCAAAAATAAACAAAAACACATTTGATGCCCTGATTCCTGCAGTTCTAAGTCGCTTAATAATGAATTTCTCACACAAGATTTCAATCTGTGACAAGTGTGTGTTTTCTTTTTAGCCACCGGTGCCACGGCTGTGTACCCCATCGACCTGGTGAAGACTCGGATGCAGAACCAGCGCTCCACAGGCTCCTTCGTGGGAGAGCTGATGTACAAAAACAGCTTCGACTGCGCAAAGAAAGTCCTCCGTTACGAGGGATTCTTCGGATTTTACAGAGGTAATCCACAGATTTTATGGCATTTGAAAAAGGGCAGACGTGTGTGTGTGTGTGGCGTGCGGAGCAGCCTGTGTGATGGGAAAATATCCGGATTTGCCTGTGTGCTAATGTCAGGGGCATGGTTTGCTAATTGATACCAGAAACCTTTGCCCTCCCTGTTCGGCAGTGAATGAAGAAACACCCGGGGGTTTTATTATCTCAGTACCTGGGAGAGATCCCTGAGGAGAACGACAAGGAGTATTCATGTAGCAGCGCCGTCTGATGCCTGAGAGGTGATAATGGTGCTGAAGGCTTGTGATATACAACACTTCTTCCCTCGAGCTCTTCTTACGAGGGAAGTCAAGACTGCCATCTACTGCTGCCTCCTCTTCTGCAGAGCCTCGCTGTTGTGATCCGCCTTCCCCCCTCCTCCTCCATCCTCCTCTCTCGCACAAGATAAGAGGGTGATTGACTCAGAGACAGACACGCTCGGCTGTTTTCTGGCTGCATACCAGCAGCGGTCACTCAGCAGCTCCTTCAGAAGTTTATCTGGTTTGATGAAGGACAGACGGTGAAACAGTGAGGTGGTTATCGCTGCTGTAGCCTCCCCCCGTGACCACACAGCTCTCTCTGTTCCCCCACAAACAGGGGGATCAAGCCCTAATGCTGGTCTCAAATGCAACAGCAGCAGTGTCATATTTTTACGATTTTATTTTACTTTTTGCTCCTCCTCAATAAGCGCTCTGTGCCACATGCATCAACCGTCATCTGTAAATATTTATGGGTTCGTTTTCGGCTCACGAGAACCCCCGTGGCTCATATTGCTCTAGCTTTCGGTGGATGTTTTCATTCATCTACGATAAAAAATGCGCATTCATACGAAGGCGGACTTTGTTCCTGTCAGGTATTCTGATGATATCTATGAATAATATTTTGCAGGTCTCCTCCCGCAGCTCATTGGCGTCGCCCCGGAGAAGGCTATCAAACTCACGGCAAGTCGTTCCACCGTGTGACTAGGTGTTGAAGAAAAGTTGCTCTGATTATATATATATTTTTTATATTGTGAATGAAAAACACGCCGAGTGCAGGAAGAATCCATGCAATCAAGCTCAAGTTAACATTATTGCCTTTTGCTTTTAGATGGTGTCTCATTTACCTTCTTCTTCTTCTTTAATGTCTTCCTTCTTTTTTCTCCCCAGGTGAATGATTTCGTCAGAGACAAGTTCACCACGCAGGATGATACCATCCCTCTCCTTGCAGAGATTCTCGCTGGTGGATGTGTAAGGTTTATTTTAGTAAAGCTCAGATAATTTTGTCCACAGATGAACTAAAAGCTGCTGCCAGAACATTTCGGAACATACAGAACATGTCCTGTTGGATTTGGCCTCAGACAGTGGATGGCTGAGTTAGATCATCAGATTATTGGTTTCCTGACACATCTCATGGTTTAATATATGTTTTTAGTGTTTAAGGGTGTCGCTGGGAAGGATTCAGCCATCTGAAGTAAGGCTGAATGACGTGTGTCAACGCATGGTCCGCATAAAAGCGGCAACTTTGATTAACGCAGACATATTGTGACATTTTTTAAGGTTTAACAGTTCTATAGTCTAAAAATCATGTTAATGAAGTTTTTTCTGGACCAAAGCTCTCTCACATAAAGCGATTTTAGCTATTTTATTTTTGACAGTTTCAGTACCTTCCAGAATGAGTTGTTTCAGGGCTTAAGAAAACAAGTTGGAGTTTGCCCCGCCTACACCTCACCTGACTGGCTACTATAAGTTAAGAAAATGCAATATCTGGGAGGAGCTTGTAGTAGAGCTAATCCTCCTCTAGCTTGGAGAGGTGGTTCTAACCTAATTTTCCTGTTTGTGATGTCACAAACGGGGACTTGTTGGACCAGCTTGTTTCAGACACAATTTCTAAAACCAAACACGGACACAAAACAGCTAGATAGATTATTTTTCACACGTACAGTGTTTATAGAAGCAGTAGAGACCCACATGGCAGCACAAAAGAATGCAAAACGGGAATTATTCATAATATGCCCCCTTTCAAATCAAAGCAATCAGTTGTTTTAATCTTGTCATCATTCATTCAGCATCTTCAATTTGAGAACTGGCGAACCGCTGTCACAAAAACAGCAAAATCTGTTGAATGTTTTGATATAATGCAATTAAGAACATCTAATACTGGAAATTAACCTAAAAATAGTGTTTTAAACATTTACTAAATATGATTCTGACTTTATCTTACCACTCAGTTACACCAAGTTCAAATAACATCAGCTTAAAAAAAAGCATTTTAAAAGATTTTTTATTGAGTCAAATTAACTCGAAACTTTCTTTTCATTTTATTTCATTCTCAAATTTTGAGATTTTATTCAAAATACTTTAGGAAAGTATTTTATTACAGGATTATGCTTTTTTTTTTATAGATCTGTTACCGTATGTGCTTTATTATAAGGAATGATATTTGATAAGCAAATTAAATTCAAGTGGGAAGTATTTTACTTCATTTATTTTTATTTTTTTGTGTTTATTCTAGATGTGTAATAATTGTGAGTTTTATGCTGATATTTTGTAAATTTGAGTGAATAAGATTTAAAGTTTTTATCTATCAGTGTATTTTCATCTGTGATTATGCTTTTAAGTGAAAGAAAGAGACTTTGGAATACAAATGTAATTCCATCACTTTGCATTTTCAACTGTAGTGAAATGAAAGAGAAGGGTTGTGTGGAGGCTGCAGGTTGGACTCAGAGTACTGGGGTCTTTGGGGTCATGACCCCTGTCAGAGAGTAATTGGAGGAAGAGGCCCTGGAGGGTTCTGGATGAAGCCGGGTCGGGCTCAGTGTGATTGAGTTTGACAACGGGGTACAAACGTGAAACGTGGTCTCAGAGCAGGTCCTCATGCAGGACGGGGAAGATGTCCCCCCTCTGGACTAAATGACAAATATCTGGGCTCCTTTGTGTTACTGCTCAACACTCGTCATGCATAAAAGTTTAAATTCAGGTTGATCTGATAACTCGAAGAATTATCGCTTCCAGCAGCGGAGCAAACTGAAGAAGATGAAAGAGACGAGACGGGCGCATCAATCTTCAGAGGGGCGGATATTCCTCCTCCACTTTGAAAATGACTAAATGTGCCAGAGCTTTTTTTAGCCCGTTTCTCGGATGTTTACAGATAAGACCCCTGCCCCGAATGTCAGCAGCAGCCATCCTGGGGCCTGATTAGATTTGGGAGGGTGATAAATGTGCCCGAGTCAGAGGGTGCCATGCCTTCGGGGGCATGGCTTTCCTGGACCTCTAGCTGTCCTGGTGATTCAGCGCTCTCCCCTGGGAATGGGGGGTGAATTGGGGAAGTGTGCAGGGCAAGGCCAGGCTGGGCCGCTCACCCTGCCACAGGACGTGCCTGGAGGGGGGCAGCAGAGGGCTGGTGCCAGGGTCAGAGCCTCCCAACCATGAGTCGGGACTTGTTCTGACCCCAGTTGTTCTTCCATCAATGCCTGCTTTTTCCTCCTTCTGTCAAGGCCATTCTGGAAATGTCAGATCTGTGCTCTGAAATTAAGTATCTGTTGTGCTGAAGTCTACTAAGATAATGTAAAAGTTTCCATGAAGAAGAAATGCTTACACACCAGAAACAATCTCACCCAGAGTTCACCTCTGGGGTGACAGAAACCCCCCTCAGAAATGTAAATATCTGCATGTAAACAACTCATCTGCAGTTTGTTTGTTTGCAGGCTGGAGCATCTCAGGTGATTTTCACCAATCCTCTGGAGATTGTTAAGATCCGACTGCAGGTGGCTGGGGAGATCACCACGGGCCCCAGGGTCAGTGCCCTGAGCGTAGTCCGGGACCTTGGCTTCCTCGGCCTCTACAAGGTGGGTCAGCACCTCTGGAGCACCCTGCGGGATGGTGCAAAATGCTCTGGCAGTCCAAAAATATAATAAAAACACTAGGATAAATATTGTGGACTACAAAATAAAACACTTCCTTTGTAAATTTAGAATAAGTAGAGAATATCGTAACATTTTGCAGATGACGCACTACTGTATTTGAACCATTTGTGTGTTTGCACAGACATAATTGTGATCAGAAACAGAAACCTGAACATCAGACATTTTCTTGTTGACTGTTTGCAATTTTCCAAAATAGTGTTAAACATGCAGCCAGCAGCAAATTAGTCAGGGATCACGCTTTGCTACCTACTGCTCCTTTTCAGACCCTTGTGGCTTTGTCACAGCTCTTCTGCTCATACTCTGTTTTAATGAATGGTAGGCTGTACTTTTATTTATTTTGGGGGCGTAAAAGAAGGCAACACAGTGAGGTTGTGTGTGTGTCTGTGATGGATCTGTCTCTCTTCAGCTCTCCCTGGGGCTCTTCACCTCTGTCATCAATACCAAAGCCCCCTGTGGGTTGAATAAATCAGCTCCCTGCCTTTTAATCCCTCCAGACAAACCAGCTCTACCTCTGTCTCTGCCCGTTTATTAGCCCTCAAATGATGCATATGGTTTAAAAATGCTTTTTGTTTTCTGTTAGGGGGCCAAAGCTTGCTTCCTGCGTGACATCCCCTTCTCGGCCATCTACTTTCCTGTCTACGCTCACACTAAAAAACTGCTGACGGATGAGGATGGAAGGCTTGGGCCTCTGCAGCTGCTCACAGCTGGAGCAATTGCAGGTAACAAACATCTGGGAAGCCCCAAGGTTTTTATAAAGGAACGTCTGACTTTAGTTTCCCGTTGTTTCTCCATCAATAGCCTTCATGCTTTTGTCAATCGCACCATGAAGGCTTAGCCATTTCAGTCCCGGCGTGATGCCGCGGCGGGGACATCAGAGCGTGGCACCATCCGTGCATAGTGAAAGTGCTTCATTGTGTGTTTTTGTGACAAGGTATACCGGCGGCGTCGCTGGTGACCCCTGCCGATGTCATCAAAACCAGGCTCCAGGTGGCGGCTCGAGCGGGCCAGACAACATACAGTGGAGTCATCGACTGTTTCAGGAAGATTCTCAGAGAAGAAGGCTTCAGGGCGTTGTGGAAGGGCGCAGGAGGTAGAACTCACACACACCTCTTCTGTCCCACACGTGCTTTTATTTCTAAGAATAAAGGAAGTTGTTGGTCTCTGACCTCACATACACCTACCTCCCTATAGCTCGTGTCTTCAGATCATCACCGCAGTTTGGCGTTACCCTGGTGACCTACGAACTGTTGCAGAGATTCTTCTACGTTGACTTTGGAGGACAGTGAGTACTTTAAGTGTATACATGAGAACAAGCTTGTCTTTGTAGCACCAGAAGCTCCAATCTGCCTCTATCCTCAGTCGACCTGCTGGCTCTGAGCCCCTTCCCAAACCCACGATGAAGGACTACCCCTCTGTGACCGCAGAGCATGTGGGCGGTTACCGTCTGGCCGCTGCAACCTTCGCTGGCGTGGAGAGGAAGTTTGGTTTGCACCTACCCAAGTTCAAGTCTCCTGGAGAGTCTAAAACAGAACCTCAGGCCTCTTAAACAAGTTGTGGCAGCAAGGGCTGCATGTTCCTCCGCTCCACATTTCAACTCAATGTATCCGACTTGATTGTTCTACCTTAAATGCTGCATGATTAAGGCTTTGACTGTTTTTTTTTGTTTTTTTTTGCATTGCTTGCACATTTTTGCACTGTACATATTGTACTTCGCAACAGAGGGACACTATGGCTCAGCAAATGATTGTTACAGCTTTTTTTTGTTGTCGTTTCCCCTTTTTGGTGTGACAGATTTAAAAAAACACAAAGATGTACAGATATTTTCAAAATATTTATTTTGAAATCATAACCAGAAATTTGGGAAATAATTCAAGTGTATTTATTGTATTTTGTTGAAATAAATCATTCAAAGTGTTTGTTTCTTGTTGTGAAAAGTACATTCTCAGGTTTGACCCAACAGGGATCAGATCGTATAACTGAGCAGATTCAGCATGCAGGTCCCCACGTTCATATAAAACAATATTTCTGTATAAAGTAGAACATTTTACTAGTCAACAAACACGAGATGACAACTTGAACTTCAGCCATGAGATGCTTACATTCCTGGATGTTGGTGTTTTATCAAACCTTCGGTGGAAATGATGAAAAGCTACAGAAGAACAGATTCTCATGAGTTTGTGCATTTTTTTGGTCTTAAATCTCAAAATTAAGACTTAACATGCTGTAAATAAAAATGGGAAAGTTTAAGGCATTTGGCTGTTAATTCAGATGACCCATTTAGGAAATATGGCTAGAAAGTGTCTGAGGTTGATGGTCCAGACATTGGAGTTAATCTGAGGAAGACAGGTGACCATCCAGCTTACTGCGGTCTAATTAAGAAGAACGTCAAAGATAAGATGTCTATACATCTTTCTGAAACCCCCAAAATCTATTCTTTTCCTTCAGTCATGTTGTGATTACATCTTTTTCAAAGCAGAACTGACATCAACAAGCAGCAGACTGGTCCCTTGAACGTAGCACCCAGCCGCGCTGAGCTCACGCAGTCAGACGCTGAGCTGCCAGCTCCTCCGCGTCGTCCCTGTTCTCGTTGATCTCCGTCAGCGTGTGAACAAAGCGCGTCCACTCGTCATTTCGTGGAACCGCAGTTTGCTGTGAGGGGGAGGGGCGCAACGGAAGCATGACTCAATTTGCAAACATATAACAGGCGACGTCCATTTATGTCGATAATGGTTAAATGACAGACTGGAAATGCTCAGAACAGTTATTTAAATCTTTGAGGTGCTCTTTTAAATGAATCTCATTAGGGTGAAGTGGCCGTGCTGAGTAATTAATCGATTGTGTCTGCAACAAAGCACACACGAGTAATTGCCTCAAATTGTATTAGCTGTGATGTTTGCTTACCTCTCCAACGTCATACACGACAACTCGTCCATCCGAGTCTCCCACTGCGATTTCTCTGCCAGAATGAGCCCATCTGACCCTGTTGAGAGCCGGGTTCCCCTCCACTGTGATGCTGGCGGTGGGCACCTAAAAAGGAAAACAGCACAAAGTATTATTCACCAGAGGAAATGTTCTGTGAACTGCAAGTGGAAAATTCTGATTACCTCCGTGTCGTTGTTCAGGTTCCACAGGTCGAGGTGGCCAACTCCATCCACGCACGCAAATAAAGCCGGGTGGGTTGGAGACCACATGACATCGTACACGTAATCAGAGTTGTCCTCAAAAGAGTACAGCGGCTTATTGTTCTGCAGAAGGGGGAGAGATGCCACATTAATTAAAAGTTGTTGGTTTGTGTCTCAGTAATCCAGTCACACATATAATTCTGTCCAATTCTGTAACAGAACACGTGGATGCAGAGTTTGAATGCAAAGATTATCGGCCTGGTCCCCACTCAGTTATGCCGGGTCAAATTTTATTCCCACAGATGAACAAAAAAACAACCTTTTCTAAACTTGTAGTTTATTGCTCCAAAACAGTTTTACAATGAGAGTTGAAGCAGAACTGTGAAGAGTTACTGGTCATTGGTTTTTAAAGGAGTCCTAGAACTTTTTTTTTTTTTTGACAATCGAAAACTGCTCTTTGAGCCTCATAGCTTACAAAACTTTGTTGGGGCTCAAAATGACCCAGGAGCCCTGAAAAACGATCATGTACAACCCCTTTTAACGCGTACAACAGAAAGACTGTTATGTCCCAGCCACTCAGCAGGAACAGAAATATTAAATGAGCTGCATACTGATTGGCTGGTTTAGCCTGAAGCTAGTAACTCCATATAGCCATGGCCAGCATGTAGATAACTCAAAGTTGCATTTGTTGGTTCTTTTTAAACACTGACACTTTAAAAAGAACCAAGAAATGCAAGTTGAAAAGATACATAGAATGAATGTACAGAAAATGTTTAACAATAACTCTACAATTGATGCATCTATTTGGCATTTTTTCAATGTCTAGATATTCCCAGTGCATTCTAGAACGTTATGTGTGTGAGCTCCTTTGTTGTTTTCCTCTTGTTCAACATGGATATTAGTCGCTTGACCTAGTGTTTGTTGTACCCTGGGCTAGTGTTAGCGGTAGCTCGGGCTAGGGTTAGCAGCATCGTTCTGCAGTTGGCATTAGCGTGACCAACTTGTTTTTGTTACAAATGTTAAAGTGGGTTCGGACATGCAGATTTAAGATGATGTGGTTAAGCTTATGACGCGTAATACCAACTTTTCTCAGAACGAAGCAGTTCTCTGTAGCCATTAAAACATTAAAGAGCAAGTCACCCCTACCAGAGTCTTACTCCACTCCCACTTCCTGTTTGAAAAATGCAACAAATGCTGTTGTAGACCGAGAGGGCAGCCTCACGACATTTTTGACATCATAATGTACCAGCTAACATCATAGTGTACCTCTTAGCCAATAGCGATGGCAGATTTAAAATCAAGTGCAGAGTTTTTACCTGACCACGACACAACACTGACAGTTCCAGGCAGAATATTTAAATTTTAACTAAGTGCCAAATTATTGACTACACGTGTCTTAAGCATGATTAGACACTCATTTATATAGTTTATCAGCAAAAGAAACAATTGATTTGGGGTGAAAGCACGTCGGAGACGGCAGACTTTTAAGATGAATGCAGTTTTGACGTCCTGGATTCCATTAAACAAACATGAGTTTTTTTCACCCCGGTAAATGAATCCAGATGTTAGCGACGGATACCTTGGTGCTCCACAGCTTCACCGTCCAGTCAAAGGAAGAGGTAAGAAACAGGTGGGAGAAGTCCAGAGGCCCTGCAGCTGTGTGGCAGTGGATCCCTGTGATTGGCCCATGGTGACCCTCAAACATCTCACTAATCCCCGCTTTGCTGTAGAGCACACAGATGTGGATGAAAATGAACAAAAACACCCCGACAAGTTCATAATAATTTAATCTTCAAAGGCAACAGATGGGGAAAGCGGGCCACCAGTTGCAGCATTTAAATATGCTGAAAATTTTAGTAACAAACACATCCAAAGGGTTAGCAGTTAGCATGGCTGCCTGTAACTATTTATGCATTTCATTAAGCATGAAGGAAAGCAACAGGCACAGATGGACCTCTCCTGGACACGTTCACTAATCATTTACTTATATCATGTAATTACCAGCAGGGAGGCAAAAAGTGCTCGTGTCCCTTCAACCACATGTTGCAGAGCTGTTATCCGACTGAGGCTCTGATAATTAATGTAGAGGGGTAAATACTCAGCATGAGTGATGCTTATGCATTATTAACTGCGATGAGAGTATCACACCATTGTAAATGAGGTGGAAAATTATTCCACCAATTACAGAGGTGATTCTGTTGTTCAGCTATGCCCGCTCTGTGGACTCTGGGTTTACCGTGCCTTACTCAGAGCCAGCTGTGGTTTAAAGGTTGGTTTATGCTTGACGCGTCCATGAGGTCCGCACGGCTCCGCGCGGAAAAGTTGCTTCATTTTAACAACCACGCGCCTCCGCACGGCCAAAAATTTCCGCAACGCGCACCTAGGAAATTTTCTAACCACGCGGACGGTCGGACGCGGAAAAACATGGCAGACTGGCAAGAACTAGTATGGCAGAGGTTCGTAAATACAGACATTTGTATGATTCAGCTCTCAGAGATCACCGTGATCAACATGTTGTTAATAATTCTTGGAGAGAAATAGCTCGCACTGTCGGAAAAGACGAGGACGCTGTTAAAAAATGCTGGAATGCCATGTTGTAAACAGTAATTTTTCTTCTACTATGGTGTAGTGTTGGATGCATGCCGTAGAGCTCCATGCTGCCCCCTACAGTTTGGGAGAATATTGGCTCACCGCAGAGACAAGCCGCATGAACCATAAACGCTGCGAGTTGTGAAGCGCGTTCCAGCCGCGAGCCGCATCACCAAGCGGAAAGTGAATGCGTCAAGCATAAACCAAGCTTAAGTCACATTTCTCTGCTGAGGACCTTCCCCCATTAGAGATGCCCCGGCCTCTCAAACGAGAAGGTTGTGGGATGAACTACAGTTTTAATTCTCCCTGGGATAACTGACTGTAAACAAACTTTCTCACTCAGAAAAACATATGGAGAAAGAGGAAAAAGCATACACAACAGGGAAAAAATGGTTTGTTTCCCCTGCATGTGCAGTCTGTTTATATTGAGCGACCTTTACAAACACAACTGACAAGCGGAAAAGAAAAACAGGATGACTGGGCAGGAGTGAAACCTCAAACAGCAGGAGATCAAGTGCTGGATTTGAGTTGCACGGGGAAGTGAGTGGGCTTTATTTATTTGACACTCGGTTCGAGGTGGGCCTGACAAGTAGCCTCAGCTTCCTGGTGAAGTTTGTGGAGGGGTGCAGGGAGGGGGTGTTGTGGGTCACCTTCCATGACGACACGACATGTAGACGGAGCCGTCCTCACTGCCCACCACAAAGTTGTTGACGTCTCCAAGGGGGAAAGACATGGAGGTGACGGCTACAGCTTTGGACTGTTTGAACACGAGCTCCATGCTGTCCTGCGGGGGGGGGGGGGGGGGGGGGGGGGGGGGGGGGGGCACGGAATAACATCTGTAACAAGCTCTCGATTCAAGCTTCATGTTAACACACATTCTGCCAAGCACAAGCTATTAAAATCACCGGACAGTTTATTACTCTGAGGTCAACGAGCACAAAATGAATGGCCAACATTTTTGGCAGCACAAATGTAATGACACGGCTGGCCACCATTTCCTTGACACGGGAAAATGAGTTCAAATCAGTCTTCAGCTCTTTAAAGTCAAGTTCTTAGTTACTGTCACCTGTGGCTGAGACAGCATATCCAGACTCCAGGAGCAGATCTTCCCATCCGTCGAGATGCTAATCAGGTTGTGGGCGTTCTGGGTGCCGACTACATTTACACAATACACCGGGTGCTGCAAAGACAACCAAGGTGAAACTTCCACCCGTGATGAATATGAATCAGGGTGAGCACACTGGTGTCCACAGTACCGTGTGTGCTGCAGCTGAAAGGGGGGTCCTCTGCACAGGGGTCCTCTTGTTGCTCCTGTTGTCCCACAGAACAATCTGCCCCGAATACGTGCCTCCAACCACGATGTTTGGGTGGAACTTGGCGAACGAAGCAGACATGACTGCAGACTGTGAGAACACAGGAAGTGTAAGGTGGTGAAAAACATTAAAACATACAATAAAGACAAAGTTTATCCCAAATTGACTCCGAGCTCCTGGTTTGATGAGACATCAACCGATATGGATGTTTCTATAGCCGATACAGTTATATAGAGGTCATGGTCATGGCTGTGTAGCGGATTTTTGGGTCGATTTTCATGGTATTTAAAGGTTTTCTGTGTTTATCTGCATGCTAAAATCTCACCAACAACAATTGACACACAACAATTCTCCAACTTCAAATCCTGAATCCTTATTATTTGCAGCACTCAGAATTAAAATTTAAAATTTAACCAGAGTTTACCAAACAAATCAATAAACTGACCAAGTATTTAAAAAAAAACACAACAGGTAAATAAAAAATAATCAGGTGACAATGTTTTACTTATTTATTATGCATTTATTGAGCAGGTGTTTAAAATTCTGCAGCAGCACTGGACTGCCTGCAGATCTGCCTGACTTTAAATCGGCCAATGCCGATACATAACAAGTTGGTAAATATCGGCCAGATATATCTGTCTATTCCTAGTTTTGATGATGTCGAAATCTTTTTTTTTTTCCTTCTGTGGTGAAAAGCAGAAACATCCGCTGACTGACCATAAATACCTGAAACCGAAGGGGAAAATGTGGTTCATACTTTGTGGTTTGTTAACAGAACTAAAGAAAAACAAAAAAATATCCAGCTGGGAGTTGGCAGCGATCAGGATTTTTTTTTATCTTTTGTTCCTAATGAGCATTCCAGACTTTTCCAGAGCTCCAACCTGTGCTCCTGCCCTCAAAGTCAAAATAATGTTAGTATTGTTGCATTCGTTGACAAAAATGGTGACACACAGGGGGAACTGCTCTTAGAAACACAAAGAAAACTGCATTCGCGCTTCTGTTCAGTTCGATTCATCGCAGCAGCGTGCCTACGACGACATCCGCTCTGAAGGCAACAACATGTGGTTCTACTCAACTTGTCTTGTTGAAGGAGCCTCAGGACGAGCATTATAATAAGGCTAAGCAGAGGGATGGAGCTCAACTGGTCTCCCAGCCAGCTCGTCTGAACACAGAACCCTTGTTTAGATGCACATGATAAGCAGCCCTGCCCCGCGCACTTAATCCTGCTGCAGAGCTCGGACCGCATTCAGGTCTTGCACCGCGGGTCTTCTCCAGAACATGTGTTAGTTGATAAATGTGGTGGAGGTGAATGCCAGCTAAGTGATGTTAAGGAAGGTAGGATGGGGGTTTGGGAGCAGAGGAGGAAGAAAGTGGGTGAGCCAAGGAGAATGGTTGGAAGTCTTCCAAGTAAAGTTGGTACCTGGCAGTGGAAGACGAATTCTGGAGTAGTTTTCTTGTACTTCATGTTCCAGACTAAAGCCACGCCGTCAGGCTCGTGTGGAGCCTCCTCGTTGTTATTGTACGAAGCAACCAATAGTTCAGGATACTGATAGGACAAGAAAAAAAATGTCAAACGTAAACAATCCAACATCCACATAGCTCTCCTGAGAGCTTTACTAATTATTTTTAGTCCTTTTCATAATTCTAGCTAACTTCTGGGGCCCAGACTGACACAGCAGCATATTTAATGGCTTAATGCGGATTTCCGAGCATGTAAACCCACTCAAATAACCATTACAGGGGTGTGAGTGTAGCTTCGAGCTAGAAATGAAGCGAACAAAGAGTCGGTGTTCAATCACTGTCACGTTTTGTTGCAGAATCAGGAATAAAATGACCTTAGACACCAGGGGAAACAAATCATTACGGCTTATGACTAAGTGACAATCCGTGCGAGACACAACCTACATTTCCTGAGGGAGTTTTGGCTGAAAAAGAGATGCTGTCAAACTCAAGCAACATAGTCATAAAACATTTTCACAGTCACTTTAAAAGCAAACTAGAAACAATTATATATATATATATATATATATATATATATATATACATTTCCTTTTATTCTGAGAGGTGTTAAAACCGGCTTTATTAAGAAGAATTTTTAAAGAAAACCACCTGTAGAGACCAGTCCAGACAGGTAACTACACGATGTTTGGACCAGCGCTCGTCCACAAACTGCCTGTTGAGTGAAAGCTTTGCTCCAGCCTGAATTTCTCTAAAAACAAAACACACATTAATTTAAAAAAAAAAGTCCTTCAAACAGGAAATGATTGGAGAGAACACCAGCTGATTTTGTTGTTTTACCTCTCCTTCTCCTCCAGCTCACGGCCAACGTAGTCAAAGAAGACGTCCACACCTTCGGACAGAGCACGCTCAATAATCCGAGTGCTGTGGTCGAAGAAATGTGCAAACTCCTCAGAGTGCAGGATCTGGAGCTTCTCCTCCTCTGTGAGCTCTTGAGGGGGTGCTTGACAGTGAAACACATATAAATGTTGTAAAGATGGCTGCATAAGACGAAAAAGCTGCAAATATTCAATTAACAATTGCCAAAACGTAGGCACAGCATCATAATTATGACCATCGACAGTAAAGTACCTTCCTCCTCCTCCTTCTTGTCTGGTTTCTCAGTCTGAGCCTCGACTACGGGTTCAGCTGGAGGACATTCTTCCTCCTCTTCTTCCTCTCCTGATCAAAAATTAAACTCTGTTAAAGTCTGCGACAAATGAATCTATCAATCCACATGATGATGCTTTTGACATGACCTTTGATCAAAATCTGTTAACCGATTTAACCCTGATCAGAAGCGGGACGAGTGCTTCCCTACAGACATTTCACATCTTTCGACTGTTTTTTTCCCCCCATAGCGATGTTATTTTCTTCTTTCAATAAAAGCTCCACCCAGCGCTTGTAGGACACCGCAAAAGAGTGATTTTGTATCTCTGCCTTGCATTTGTTTTGTTTGTCAGCACTATGTCGCCTTTCAAAAGCAGAAAAAAAAGAGAGGGAGAACCCGCTCCTCTAAAGCGAGGAAGTTTGTCATTTGTACTAAAGGGACAGAGCTCAGCGGGTGTCTTGTTGTCATAGGGACCCCCTGTCTTTCCTCACTGTTAATGAGACTCCAGCCTTCAATGGAGTCTAGCTGTCAGTGTAGCTGTTTCCTCTGTGTCCCAGTTGCAGGTTGCCCCCTTCTAGGCCACGGGGCAGAGGGTGTGGAGCAGCTGCCTCGGCTCCATGCTATTGGACTTGGCCAGATGACGGCATGGTGCAGAAGCAGATGGTGATGCAGGGATTGTCCTGTGCTCTTCAGAGGTGGCACAGGGATGGCACAGAGGTTTTCCGCCTGGCCGCCCCGAGACAAGCCTCTCCCTGAACAACAAGCCTGTGCAATTACCGTCCCAGCAGGAGGTCCTGCAACTCCTATTCAACCTCGGAGAATGTACGACAAAACACAGGCCACACCAGCTGGCAAACTGCACACCGGTTCGACTTCAAAGGGGATGAACAGGATTTTATCAAACACGTCTTCAACAAATCATATTAAAATGTTTTTTAAAAAAAATGGGTTGAAATAACATCAGATGAAAAGGGTCAAGTCTTTGTTTTTGTTTTGGGGGGGGGGGGTATCATCGTATGAACTATATAGTTCATCTAGGATTACAGCACCACACGACAGAATTCCCTTCCGACTGGGATAATCTAAATGATAATGTCATCTGTCACTTTGTTCATAAAGTGTTTTATCCCCTTCCTCAGATGGGGGTTTGGCGAAGAAGGTTATTGGGAGCACTGATGAGTTTACAGAACTGGGTTGATGACACAAGCCATTTCAATGTGCAGCCATACCCAACTCCCAACAGGAGAAGGTTAAAATCTTTCCTTTCAAGGGCCTCAATCAGGCTTAAAGGAAAACAGTAATCACTGTCTTTCAGCTAGTCCCGGCCGCGCTCGTCAGCCCTTTCCCTGGTGAGGCAGCCGGAGCAATCAACCTGCCAGGCATTAGGAGCAGACAGACAATCTGAAAATAAAGGGTATAATGCACCTGCCAGCTAAAATGGCCATTTGGAAAAAAGCTAGTGATCCTGGTGACCCTGCTGGGGATGTGCAAGGAGGAAGGGGGGGTAGTAGCAGCAGCAAGGATGGGTGGGTTGCATTTAACAGAATTCACCCGGATCAGCAATGTCCCATACACTGACACCTCTCTCAAAGCAAGTCCAATTATGGCTTTTGTACCACTTAAGAAATAAAAGCTTTTTTGGTGGGAGCTGGACAGCAGGGGGATGGGGGGTTCCGAGTCAACAGACAATATATTAATGCAAACATGGCATGTGGCAAATGATGGACAACTAGAAAACAATCTTTGCTGGCTGCAGATGTCTTGTCTATACTGCAACACGTGCACAAATGTTTTCAATGCTAAAATGAGCCCACAGAAACACAAGAGATGCATCTACAGTAGCATTTTCACCTCCAGAAATAAGCACACTTTGGTAAAACGTTGAACTAATAATTATCGACTTATTCAAATATAAAAATAATGTGTGGTGAAACAAAAGGAAAAAAAAAAGGTAAAAAAACCCAAAAAAACATCAAATTCTCTGCTAAAGTATAACACTTTTAACAGCACTAATCATCAAGTGCGTAAAAGCTGACCACAATTACAAGTGGCACTTGAAACAAGGAGGCCTTTAAGGGCTTTGTGATTAAAAGTTTTGACCTACCTCCAAATTCAAAGTGATTAAAACAATCACATTCAATTAAATATTAGATCGGCTGAACCGCTAGACATACTTGTATTTCTGACGAGCCTTTTTGAAATAAACCGACCAGGCCCTCGTCCCACCCCCACAAACGTCCAACAATATCTTACTCCATAATTACAGCCTATTGTTGAAGAGTGCATATTGATGCAGTCTGGAAATACTGTAGTGGTAAATGGAGGGTTTCAGTTAAGAGAAAAGCTAAAATCAAGGCAGGATTTGCAAACTTCCCCTTAAAAACAACAAAAGTCCTAAAAAACAACATTTTTTCAGGCTACCTGGAAGGTCTTAATTCTGTAAGATGACCAAACCGTGGCGTTTAATCCTTTCACAACCGATCATGACCTGTCACCTGAGTGGTAGTTTGTGATGTAGAACCAAAAAATCCTAAAATTTGTTTGCAAAATGACAATTGCAGTGGTGCAGTGGTTAGAGCTGGTGCCTTGCAGCAAGAAGGTCCTGGGTTCGATTCCCGGCCTGGGATCTTTTTGCATGGAGTTTGCATGTTCTCCCTGTGCACGCGTGGGTTTTCTCCGGGTGCTCCGGCTTCCTCCCACAGTCTAAAAACATGACTGTTAGGTTAACTGGTCTGTCTAAATTGTCCTTAGGTGTGAGTGTGAGTGTGCATGATTGTTTGTCCTGTGTGTCTCTGTGTTGCCCTGCGATGGACTGGCTCTCTGTCCAGGGTGTACCCCGCCTGATTGCCCGCTGACCGCTGGAGATGGGCACCAGCCCCCCCCCCCCCTCGACCCTACATGGACAAGTGGATTCAGAAAATGGATGGATGGTTACAAATAGAAATTAATAAATAAGTAAATAAACATTAAAAGAGTTCAGAAAGACAAAATGTTAAAGGAATACCATTTAAAACCTATTGATGGTCGCCATTACAAAAAGAGACAAATCTTAAGTTATAGGGATATCTGCAGCAATATCGGTATCGGCCGAAGTTGGTCACATATCATACTGGTCCAATAAGTAAAATTGGGCGAATATTAAAGGAGATATAATAACTAAACTCACATTTTGCATCCTTTACTGCCTCTACAAACCCTCCAAACATGAATAAAACCTCTCAATCTGTTTTCTGTAAATGTTGGCCTAAATCAAGCCATTTTAAAAGGTTCCCATGAATGATGTCACAAAAGGGGAAATTAGTAAGAGACATGCAGAGCTGCTGCTGCTGGAGAAGTAGTTCCTCTTCCCCAAGTACCTTCGACATCTGAGCTTCTCAGCCTATAGCAGCCTTAGCAGGGATAGGTGGGTGTGGCCAGCTTCAGCTTGTTTTTTAAAGTGATAGCCCCGAAACAGCTAATTTTGAAACTGTCAAGAATAAAAAAGCTGAAATTGTTTTATGTGAGAGATTTGGCTCAAAGAATTCATGAATATTTTATAGACTACTTTTGCGTTTTCCCCATTGTTATGTTCACATAGAAAATATTGTCTGTTATCTTGTATTTTTTATTCTCAGTGTTGCGATCTACGGAGGACCCACTTGAAAACTAGAAGGTTCATCTGAAGTGGTTTTCATCCTCCAAGAATAAAAGTAAATAAAAAATATAATATCAGTAAATATCAGCCGTATTGGCGCATCTCTAATAAGATGCATTCTTTTTGATTACTCATTGGATTATTCTTTTGTGTCTATGCAAAGGAGGCAGGTGATCTTTAACTTCTGCACCATTTTCCTAAGATTGTCTAGCCAACACGGTGGGAACCCTCAAGCTGCAGCAGCCGGGGCACAGTGGCCGCTCCCTCTAATGCCACCGCCCGCTGACCTTGAGAGTGCTGCTCCGTTGCCTCCTTTCGACAACACGATAAATCACTCAATCAGAATGCAGCCCCCCCGACGCCACCTCGCACATCAAAAATGCGGCGAGGGGAGCAAGCTGGGAAGGGGTTGCCGTCTCATCGAGTGCCAGAAGTGATGGTGTGAAAATGCACAATGTCACTGAGTGTGTTTTGTTATGTGCCTGTTCGGTGAAGGGAGAAGACAGGGGAAGCGGTGGAGTTGATGAAATGATTACATAGTGGCATAGAGGGGAAGGGGTGTGGTTGTTGAACAGCTGGCAGAAACCATCGTTGTTTAACAGTTTTACTATACCCCGAAGAGTCCAGAGAAAGGAGAGATGGGGGGGAAAGGGATGCTCTTCATCCTTCACTAGTTCTGCTTGTAATAAAACAACACAATTTGACCTCACACATCCAGCATGCCATCCCAGAATTGTCTACACATCAGTTCACCATTTATAATACAAACCAGGCGTTCAAGGATGCCCAAAAACACATTAACTGCTGCAAAAAATATAAACTTTAGACTTTTATAGTTTAGGTGGAGGGGGCAGAAACCCAGAAATGATGTCATCAGAGTGAATTATTTACCATCTGTTTAAAAGAAAAATCTAGTAGCACAACTGGAACTGTTGCACTTTTGTTTTTTACAACATGTGTTCAACATGTGGATTTTTGCACCAAAACCAACTATTCTGTTCGTCCAACCACATGAAAGCTCCAGAGCTGCAATTACATACATATCAACACGCTTCAGATGCAATAAGCAGCCGAATGCACCGCGCTTCATATCTTCCGCTCCAATCGCATTTCTCCTTCCTGTCACTGGTTTTCTCATCCTGCTCGTTAATTACGCCAAAGCGGAGTTGGTGGTGAGGATCAGAGGAGCAGAGCTTGTCTGAGTTTCATCTCTGCCCCTGGCTTCTTACGTTTCCTGGGTCTCACCCCCACCACTTTCATCTCATGGCTTGGTAAAACTCTTCCACTTCCCAGAAATCCCTCCATTGTAAATCATTGTTCAACAAGCACCGTGCTCTTTAAGCAGTAAAATAAACAAGGAGTTTCAACTAACCTAAACATTTTGTTTAGGCCCAATTTGTCCATGCATGGAGAACACTCAGTAAAATGATTTGAGTCACCTTCTTTGGTCTGAGTCATGACAGGTGTTTGGGTCTCTTTTGTGTAGGACACAGTTTCACGAGGAAGGAAGTCCACTTGTGTGACTTTGGCCATTCCCAGTTTCGGGGTGACACGCCTACAAACACAGAACAACTCAAACTTTGCACAACATCAGTACAAAACATAGAATACGGCATTACCCCAAAATTCCACTACCTCCGCCCCCGCCTTCCGCAGCCGCTCGCTTCCGAACTCAATTTTTACTGCTACCCGCTCTACAACGGCTCCGCTCCGGTGCGGAGACCTGAGGAGCGCAAACAGGCATGCGCGGGATTTTCGAGATCTTGCGATACAGTCCGAGCAATAAACGTGGAAGTTAGATCCAAACACCCGTTGCGTGGGAGAAGCATCGAAATGAACTGTTTAATCTGCCCATCATTTGTGTTGAGAGATCAGCAGTGTTTGGATCAACAAAGTGTGACTACTTTGATAGTAGAAACTGTATTTATGGCGTATTTTTGTGCATTTAAAGTTCAGCTGCCATTGATAGTTGTTAAAAGTTGTTAAACCTGTGCATATGAAACAAAAAAAGCTTTTTGTTTATCGATTTGTTGTGAAATAACGGAAGTTGTGCTTGCTCCCTTTCCTGTTGGGCGGTTGTGATTTCTGTCCATTGACTGTGGAGGTGCTCCAGCATCCGGCAAAAATAGAATCGATCCTATTTTTGCCGGATGGCGGAACGGCGGGCGGCGCACTGCGCCGCACGGCCGCAGTAGTGGAACAGCTCTGATTGACTACAACGGGACCGATTTTGCTGCGGAGTTCGTGCCGGAGCGGAGCGGAGGTAGTGGAATTTTGGGGTTAGAAAACAATTTTAGTTAATTTTGCAATCTTCACCTCCTTCAGATGGAATCTTAAAGCTAAAGTAATGAAATTAGTTACGGTCTAAAGTTCTGATTAGTTTAGCAAACACTGCAGATTATTAGAAATATTTTATCTCATCTTTTCATGTACAGTGACTTTGATAGAAAAAAAAAAGCAATCATGCCATAGATTGAGAGAAGGGAAAATGACCAGGAAAGGAGAGAAGAGATTGTCCAGTACCCCAGCTCAGAATCAGAGTGAAGTTGAAGAGTGGACGGGTCAGAGTCCCAATGCAGAGTCCTGATTAGTGTCACGGCAACAAGGCAGCATTAGTGACAGAGAGATGAGCGAGCACAAATGGGGGGAGGAGAAAATGTTAGCGTTGTGGCACACAACATGCAGATATACATCTGATTTATATGTTATTAATCATTTTAAATGTCAAATGAAACTTTAATCCATTTGCACAGAGAAGGAGGAATGCATTTGCTTGAAACGGACAACCACAAATACCCTCTGAGGGGGTTGACAGCCTGCAGAGCTGATATGGCCCAAACCGAGCCACACCGAATAGTCTGAGTGCTGCGTAGCCACAGAGGGGTAGAGCCAGAGCCCTCGGGGAGAAAACATGACCTCCATGTGTGTAGGAAATGGCCATGCTGGTGAGGGAAATGAGTCAACACGTAGGGGGAACAGCTCACTCGGCCTGATGGGACACTGAGGGGGTTTGAATTTCAGTACAGGGAAGGGGCTCTAATTAGGGGTTAAGAAGTCCCCCAGGCATCTCAGCAGCCTGCTGTTTTATTGTTAATTTGGAATCGTTCTAATTCGGTGGCACATAAATGGAGCAAACATGCACTCAGTTGGCATAAATATGTCGTCGTTTACAATAACCGTGCAAGACTGAAACTGAGTTTAAACTCAGCTGTATCCATGACCTTAGAGCAGCAACACAAAAGAAGCAGAAGAAACAAACGCAGAACAGACAAACTTCAGGAGGCAGCTAATTATTTGCTGCACATCTGCAGTTTAAACTGACAAATATGGTGTTCTCTTTGAAGAAATGATGAGAAATCTTTGTTGCATTTTACTAAAGAGACTCTTTCATGACCTCCGTGCATGAACAAGCTTTGTACTGAAGTTTGGACTCTCGCTGAAGGGTTCACTAGTGTGTTCGAGTGTGTACCTGGGCCCTGCAGCTCCATCAGAGTCCTGGCTCCCTGCTTCACTTGGCGTTCCAGCTGATTTGGCAGCAGGAGACGTCAGAGGAGGGACTATGTTTGAGACAAAAACAGTACAGGGTAAAGATGACAGGAAATGCTGATTGCTGAACTGCTTCAATGCTTTGTTGTAGTTTAAGTAAATAGACTGTAATCAGATCTTGTGAGTACATTTCTTCACAGTCACAATAGATTTGGTAGTAACGTGTGTGAAAAGCAGACAAATGCAAACAATAGCAGATAAACTGCTTTACAATTAGACAATTTATCCACATAATGAAATACACGTTTTAAGAAATAAATACATAAAATGTAGGTTTCACATAAACAAAACCTAAATTTGATCACTTTTTTAAAAAAATGCAGTGTTTCAAGACTGTCAGCCATCTTTGACAGAATATTTTAATGAACCTCTTCTGCCACCTGCAGGTGAAGTTGTGACAATGCTCTGTAAATCTGACAGATTCAGAACACCTTATAAAGTTGCTTAATGTATTAAAGATTTCTAAGTTGTTAGCATGGTTTTTGATAGCATTATGGCATTTTGACAAATGGTTGTTTTTGCTTTTGTGGGCAGCAGTAGCTCAGGGGGTAGAGCGGGTTGTCCAGTAATCGGAAGGTTGTACGTCTGATCCCGGCTCCCGCCAGTAATCATCACTAACGTGAATGTGTGCATGTGTGTGTTGTGAAGCACCTTGGGGGGTTGTAAAACCTTAGATGGCGTTAAACAAATACAGTCCATTTAGTGATTTGAATAATATTTTTCTAGTAGATCATGCATACATTATATCTAATTGAAAGAAAGATGGTGTTTTGCTGTTTTCTTTTTGTTTGTTTAGTTTTTACTGTGAACTGAAAAACCTTTTTTTTTACTCAGGGATATATTAGATGAGATTATGATGCCATGTTCATTCTGTTTCTGTTCTTTTGGATTGTTTTCACTTTTGTAAAGTGAAAAAGTATTTTTAAGCAAGGGATAACTTAGATCTAAGGAGTAGAGAGCTAAATAAGTATATACTTCTACCTACTACTTTATCAAACAAATCAATGATCCTAAGATTTAACTATGATTGAATTGTCAGTGATTGTTTGAAAATAAATTCCTATTATTTAGGGGTGTAACGGTTCATAGAGGAGTGTTGAACCGTTTTGGTGCGGTCCAATTACGTACGGTTTTGGTTTATTTTCTCAATTAAATAATGAATTTTTATTTGTGTGATTCAAGTTCAGCAGATAAAAGTTCCTAGGCGAGTTTCCGCACGGATGCTGTATTGAGTGACGCATGACGGCTGCACGCGATCGAATTCTGCAAATTCTGATCAACGCCTTTCAGAGCGGATCAAACCAGCTGGCTGTCGCTGCTACTGGAACCTGTAGACATTGTACGGAGCGTCGCCCCTCTCTCCCTTCTCTCACACTGTGCACGCAGCTGCAAAAATGTAAACAAACATGTCTGCTGAACTTTTTTCCTGGGACAATTGATGTAAAGTTTTCATCCTACATAGAAAAATACGGCACGGAGGAAGCTCATTATTTTATATGAGTTTTAAAGAAGAAACTCTGGGTGGTGTGAGGCGAGTTTTTAAGGCTCGCTGCAGAAATAAAAACACGGAGCACCAACAGTCAAACACAACACTTGTCTGTATGAGTGTGACACTCATAGCTTCGCAAATTACCTGTGAAATAATTAAAGACATCATATTAGATCAGCAGCCTGTGATGACACCTGGTCCTGCTCACTATAGGAGCTGCTTCAGATATTAAATAAATATAATACCGTAAATCCTCTAATACAGGCCTGTATTTAATTAACTGCCTGGTCTCATATTTTGGCCAGTGTCGGAGTCGGCGGAGGTGAATAATGGCCGGTATTTTATTGTGGCCGGGTGAAATGTGGTAACAAGCAAGCACGGGGGGCGGTTGTGTCATCCGTCTCACTTTTGATTTGCCAGTGATAGACCGCGAGGGTAACTTTAACCGTGCGGAGACGAAGAGGAGGCGAAAATTTGATATCAAGTTCAAAGAGAACGTGCTGATTATGCTGCAGAACACTGGGGAGCAGTAGGGGTTGTATGAACTAGTCGACTTCACTATAGTGACTTTTTACGCCTGTCATCGACTAGTCGCTGTCACGTGATAATGACCGGGCAAGATGCAGTCCTCGGAAAAGACAGCAGCCTGCTGTCAGCAGGTGACAAGCTCCTGCGCGTCGGGAGGCAACGCGCTGTGCCAGAGCGTCGGTACTGACACCCACCGTAAAATGGACATTTAACCAAATTGTGACGTTTACCCTCTTGCAATTTAACATTCCCCTCACCCCCATCCTAACCTTAACCAGCTTGCGCATGCAAAGCTCTGATTGTTGACGCGCTCCAGACATCTGCGTCCTGAGCACGGCCACAGTAACGTTAACAAATGAGGTGTCGCCACCTCAAAAACTAATTTAACACGCGATCGTTCATGTCGGCTCATTTCCTTTAATGTTTTCTGTCTTTTATTCTTTTATTTGTGCCTGATGCGTTTCGCTGCTGTGGAGCGGGGCACATCACCTGTTTTGTCCTCCGGTGACGCACTGCGGCCGGCGAGCAGCTCGCACTCCGCTGTTTTTGCAGTCGGTAGATCTTTTAGAACTGCAGTTCAAAGGTAACTCATGAGGTGAATATATATGAAGCCAGGTAGCTGTTTTTCTTTAGGATTGAGAGGAGATGCAGGAAGATAATAAACAGGCAGGACAGAAAAATAGTCAAATAAAAACAAGTTAGTTTTTGTACCTGGTGGTTGCAACAAACAGACACCATTGAAGGTAATCAGAAGTGAGGAACAGAAAATGAAATAATTATTTTAATGTTTAGAGCAGCAGGAAGTCCGAGAGGCTGCAGGCGCATCAGTGAGTTTGCGGTCGCTGCGCAGGGGGAGGGGGGAGAGGGCTGAAGCAGAAACTACCGTTGTTAAAAGAGACGTGTTTAACTTTGAAAATGTGGGCGCAATTTTAATTGTCAAAAACTCCAGCGAACCATTAGTTCATTTTGCTCAAATAGAAATAGAGGCCTGCCTCTAATTCTGGTCCTCCTTCCAATAAAGGCCTGGAGCTTGATGAGCAGAGGATTTACGGTAATATGTCAAAAATTAATCAAACCGAGCTCTTCACAACACTGAACCGAACACGAATTTAGTGTACCGTTACACCCCTACTACTATTATTATTATAAAAAGCCACTCAAAGGTAATATTAAAGACACCTGCAGGAACATCCGTGTTTATGCCCACACTCTGTAGAAGAGCTTCAGCTTCTCGTCTTTTTTTCTCCAGGTCGGAGTCATCCGGCTGAACCGCAGCTTCTTTCTGTTGTAGATCAGCCTGGGGAAAATCGACACACCAAACACGAATGAGATTAAACTCTGATGTATGCTCATAATCTGATATATTCACGTATGAGCTGCTTTGCAAAGAACGAACAGATATTTTAAAAGGGACTATTGCTTATTTGTTGCACCACTGTAACCAAAAATCTGTCAATTTTGAAAAGAAAAAAAAACTTAATGTTTATGAATTAGAAATCGACCGACTTGTGAGATATTTGATCTAAGCTTTTGACGATTCAGTAATTCACACTAGAAATTTTTCTGAATATTGACACATACATACCTTCTTTCGCTCCTCCTCCTTCCTTCTTTTCTCCTCTCTGATCTGTGCCAATCGTTGCTTCTTCCTTTCCAGCTCTGCTTTCAGCTCACTTTTGTCAGACATTTTTCCACAGCTGCACACAAACAACACAGTCTTGTTAATCTCCACTCCCAAACTTTTGGGAAAAATGTTTTGGCTAAAGCTTGGTTAAATGAACGGGCCAAGTGAAGAATGTAAACAAGATAGGTATGATAAGCTTCCAATGGGCCAGGCATTATCTTATAAGATTATTTTATTTCAGAAATGCCCAATAATAGGCGACGACCACAAGTCACTCATTATGATTGCTTTAAAGAGATCAGATGTTCTAGCAAATGCTTAAGTTGTCTTGTGCAATCGTACAGTTTTTAAATCCCTAAAAATGTTTAGGCATAACAACAGCCCACTACTGAAGTTGTGCATCTACGAGTGTTATAAATTTAACTAATAGCTTAGCAAAAACAACTATCAGTTGTACATTTTGATAGATTATATACAGGCAATCTGCAGCATTTAAGAAAGATGCAAAGCAAAACCATTAAACAGCTTTATACCTTTGCTCCAAATCTATTCCCAAAAATATATAAAATAAAAACCTTCCATCACCCAACATAAAGTACACAATTTCTTCAAATAAAACTGATATGAGTCAAAATATGGCAAATGAACCAAAAATAGGACGTAAAAAATGCTTTGTCCTTATGAAAAGCTCAATTTCAAATATTTGGGAAAAGTTCTAGATTCATTACTTTTTGGTGAAAAAAAATCCCATTTAATAGATGTTTAGTAATTTCAACAGAATAAACTGTCTCAGATTTAATTCTTTCCTGAAAAGACAGCAACACAGCTTTTTCTTAACTAAATCATTTATATTTCCATGTAAGGTTTCCCCAGACGATTAAATTCCTTCAGGTTAATGTGTGCGAAATAAAAAATTAAGAGGTGGGAAAACAATTTCCAAAGATTAACTTTCAAATGAGAAAGAAAAGTTACTGTTGTACCACAAGTACAACAAATACATAAATAAATATAAAGCAAAGTGGCTAAATAACACACATGACCCTTCGTTGGTGACTAGCTGGCAGGTCGTTGTCAGCAAGCTAACGGAGCCCCACCCTACACCTGCTACATTCTTTCGGCCACGGATCAGCCTTTTTATCATTTTTTAGTTACTCTTCCTCGTTAGCTTATGGTAATTTAAAGTCCAGCTACTAAATAAGCCTGTCTCACCTAAACATGTTGTTAAAAAAAGCTAACACATCTCTGTTAGTGTTAGCATTAGCCTTCCTTCATTGTTAGCTCAGGAGCTAAGTTAGCTTTAAATATTATACAATAGCTGGTAGTATGTGAGAAAATGTGTTATCTAATACGGTTGTTCATTGGTTTAATAATAAATATGTCCCAGAAATGTGGACAATTTAACTAACTACAGCGTCAGAGGTGTTTAGTTTGCAGCTACTTGTCGGGTTAACAACGGCTTTAATTATGCTAAACAAAACCCGAGTAAAGCCTGTTTATCTATAGATGCTGCAAAATTCGCCAGTGACGTTAGTCATGTTAATATAAAGTCCAGATAACAAACCTTGTTGCAGATTTACGAACTGACAGCAAATCCACTTAAATCAACACAAAACAATAGGAAGTGATTGCCACCCGAACTACGGATGCTGAGAGGAGCCAAAATTGAATAAACGTTGAAGCGGTCCCTAAAGTACGAATCTCAAGAGATGGACAAAGATTGTAAAAAGAAACACTGTTGCCTTCAAAATATTTCTATTTCTATTTATTTTTAGCAAATGCCAGACATTATGCACAAATATAAATGCATTGTGTTAAAAAAAGAGATAACCCAAAATACACGAATACCATGCATGTCAGCACAGTCCAATATCAGTTGCTTTACAGAATATCATAATTTAAGCAAACCTGTAATATTTGTTTTTAAAAAGCAATAAAACCTTGATGACTTTAGCACTATAACTTTCTGCGTAGTGTAAAGTTATCATTATTGTATGGGACTTTTAATAGTCAATAATATGTTTTCTTACAGGATATTGTTTTAAATCTGCACATCTACTTTTTAAAAGTATTTAATTGAACTTTGGCTACCTTTTCAATTCATTTTCTATCAAATTTAAGACTTGTCCATTACAACACACTGAAGTGAACTTAAAAGAGCAAGTCACCCCTACCAGAGTCTAACTCCACTCCCACTTCATGTTTGAAAAATGCAACAAATGCTGTTGCCTGGCAGACCGAGAAGGCGGAGCTGCTAACAAATACACACATACACAGGCTCACGACAGCATTGTGACATCATAATGTACCCGTTTACATCATAGTATACCTCTTAGCCAATAGCGGTGGCAGATTTAAATTAAAATACAGTGCAGAGTTTTTACCTGACAATGGCACAACACTGCCGGTTTTAGGCAGAATATTTAAATTTGAACCAAGATGCACTGAAGTGCCAAATTATTGACTACACGTGTCTGCAGCACGATTAGACACTCGTTTATATAGTTTATTAGCAAAAAAAAAAGTTTATTTGACTTGCTCTTTAAAGAGCAAGTCACCCCTTATCAGTATTACTCCACTCCCACTTCCTGTTTGAAAAATGCAACAAATGCTGTTGCTTAGCCTACAGAGAGGGCGGAGCCGCTAACAAATACACACACAGGCTCACAATGACATTGTGACATCATATGGTACCAGTTAACGTTCTAGGGTACCTCTTAGCCAATAGCGAAGGCAGTGCAGAGTTTTTACCTGACAACGGCACAACACTGACAGTTTTAGGCAGAAAATTCGATTTTTAACTCAAATGCACTAAAGTGCAAAACTATTGACGACACGTGTCTGCAGCACGATTAGACACTCGTTTATATAGTTTATCAGCAAAAAAAAAGTTTATTTGGGGGTGACTTGCTCTTTAAAGAGCAAGTCACCCCTTATCAGTATTACTCCACTCCCACTTCCTGTTTGAAAAATGCAACAAATGCTGTTGCCTAGCCGACAGAGAGGGCGGAGCCGCTAACAAATACACACACAGGCTCACAATGACATTGTGACATCATATGGTACCAGTTAACGTTCTAGGGTACCTCTTAGCCAATAGCGAAGGCAGTGCAGAGTTTTTACCTGACAACGGCACAACACTGACAGTTTTAGGCAGAAAATTCGATTTTTAACTCAAATGCACTAAAGTGCAAAACTATTGACGACACGTGTCTGCAGCATGATTAGACACGCATTTATATAGTTTATCTAAAAAAAGTTGACAACAGAAAGACAGAGAAATCCATCAGAGACCAGACATAAAACCTGAGAAATACATCATCCTTCAGCTGACTGTCACCTTCAGCCCTGTTGATCTTAAACTATTATATGATCAACCATTGACTCAAAAAACTCAGGTACTCAAATAAAAACCAATGAAAAAGTAGCTTTTGTTTACTTTATTTGAGCTCATATTATCTTCTTAGAGCTCAAAAATCACTGAAGCAACATAAACTGAACAAAATGAAGAAAGCTTTTAAAATATTCCTGAAAACTACTTAAACAAATACAAAGACTGATTAGGTAAAAAGAAACAAAGTGTTTACATTTTTCAACTTTATTTCATCAATAAAATATTTTAAATCAGTAATTCTGGTTGTCTGGCTTATTTCTCCTCCTGACATCATCAGTCTCAGCTTCAGCTCCCCCGGACAGCTCAGATAGAGCTGGACCATCCCTGGCACTGTCCTCACCTCCACTGTTGGTATGCAGAGAATGCATGATCTGGTCACTGGGGCGTTTCCAAGACTCTCGAGTGGCAATCCAAAGAACCAGTGCTCCAAAAACCACCAAGAGGAGTCCAAGAACATTCACAAAAATCGCCTCTGGTGGAGAATCCTTGTACTTCGGATTGCTCCTTTGTTTAAAAAAAAGACAATTGAACTTGTTACCAGATTTTCATTTTATTTATTTGTTTGTGTTTTAAAATGTGTATTTATTTATACTTACAGGCCAAAAATCAGCTTCTCTGTGATGCCCATGAGAGCCACAGCTATGACACTGGTGAAAAGGAAAAGACCACTGTAGACGTGGATGGGCATACATGCTGCTCTCCAGGACAAAGGTGTAACTGGTATCAGGTATAAGCCAACTCCGAGAACAATCTGCTCATTGATGGAGGGGGGAGGGGAAAAAGCCCATCACTCAACTGCTAATCGCCTCGACTTTGCACAAACTGAATACATCAACATTTGGTGAGGGATTTTTGCTTTTTTATTTGAAATAAATGCATAAAAAAGGCATTTTTACCTGTAATGCGTACATTATAACTACTGTCAGGCCCAGCCAGCTGTGCAGACTGTACATGTCAGGGATGCTGCTGTAGTAATGGAAGTCAAAAACCGCCATCAAGGAGATGACAGCAAAAGTGAAGGCTATCAAATGCAAGCTTGCATGAATGAACTTCATCATCAGTTTGCTGCACTGCCAAGTCCAGGGAAGCCTGTAGACAGTAATGGCTGCAAGAGGAAACCAACAGCTGTCCGTTAACCGGCGTACTGCAAGATTTTCATTACACACTTAATATATATATATATATATATATATATATATATATATATATATATATATATATATATATAATTATTATTATTCTCTTATTTGTATGGTTGTCCGGTGTCTAAAATAAGTTGTATGAAAAGGCCTAAAACATTTTTGTTAAGGTTGTTTTGAACAAAAACCTTTTTTCTGTTGCTGATGTTTTGGGATTGACATCCTTGAAGTTCAGTGGTCACTAAAGTGTGCAAAAGTCTTAAACCACTCCTAATTTCTGAATATTTTTGCTTCCAGGTTTCCTTGAAAACATTTTGAAGGATCTTGATCAAGGCTTATTGGAACTTGTAATACCTTTTCAGTCCTCGTACATCCATGACAGCAGTATGTGATGTAAAAATGTGTGGGAGGACGAAAGACGAAGTGTTAAGCCCAAATAGCTATTAATAACAGATGAGCAACATCTGGAAGGCAATTTTTTTAATGAAATAGTTTCATGAAACCCTGACTGATACCTAAAACAGGAACCGAGAGATCACCAACATTTTAACAGCTCTAATGCACTTAATGCTCATCTTTGGTTTCTGTCCATCTTTTCTGTTCAACTACAGAAAAAAGGAACAAAATGTGTCTTTGTGATGAGCTGCTGGGGAAAAAGTGCTTAAAGAGACAGTTAATTTGCTCAGCTGTCACACAGATTCATCCCTTGAGTTGGTCTTGAGGATGGATGATTCATGGTGGATGTGATGTATTGCTGAGACTGCGGTCATTCAGATAATGTGTATTCCACCTCCCTACCAGCAAATACATTAGTGGAGAGTTCAGGAAACAAACAAAACATTCTTTTGAAAATGGTCAGGCAGCTGGTTGAGAATCAATAAAATAAAACCTTCAGAACACCTTAAGAACTATTTCTTAAGAGTTTTTAATTTAAAAAGTCTGGTTACATGGAAGGAAAGTTTGTATAAGTTAGAAACAGCTTGCTTTTGTATAACACGCGCGCGCACACACACGCACAGTTTAACTTTGTTTTTCGCGGTCGTTTCCTCCCAACATTTTTAGAGCAACACACATTTCATTTACTGTTTTTCCTGAAACGCATGCGTCACCTCACCTATGCCTTGCAGGAAAACAAACCCTGTGACAACCAGCACCGGATGCCAGTTAAACTCAGCCGCGCCTCCATCCCAGGCCAAACCTTCCTTAAAGTGAAGAACCCATCTCAGCACGAAGATTATGGCCACGAAGCCCACAGCTCCGGCGGCAGACAGAGCCAGCAGAAACAGTTTCAGGTTCTCCATCTTGGTTCAAGGGGCAACTGGGAAGAAGCAGCTGGTTTCTTACAAATACGACTATTTTGGAGGCGTGTCCTATTTCGGAGGATCGCCGTCACGTGACCAGGGCAGAAAAGCGAAGTTTTGTAACTTCGCCGGTGAAAAACACATTATCTTTGCTGTGTCATCCTCTGACTTTAAACGTCAACCGCAGTTAAAGCCTCAGATGACTCAGACTCAGGATGATCACTGTTATGAAAAGCAAAGACCTGATCTAAAATGGTTGTTTGTGGTTATATATCTTTTGTCCCATCAATGTGCCATTGTTAAAACCTAAGTCAACTGAGGGGATTTGAACTGCGTTTCTCTATAAAAGTTGTTTTTTCTCCCTGAACAACCTCTGTTTAGAGAAAATGCTAAACATATACTGAGTCATATACTACCCACAAAGCATCTTGAGAATATCGGCCATACTTTGAGTTTTTTTTCCAAGCTTTATTTACAAAAGTATAAAATTACTAATATAACATTTATATACTCCTCCTTGAACCGTCACCTTATCGTGGTGGAGGAGTTTGAGTGCCCTAATGATCCTAGGAGCTATTTTGTCTGGGGCACTTTGTGCCCCTAGTAGGGTCTCCCATGACAAACTGGTCTTAGGTGAAGGGTGAGACAAAGAACGGTTCACAGGATCTTTCATTGATGTAAATTCAAAGAGTCGGAGTACCCGGCCTGGAGGGTTACCAGGGTCCCACCCTGGAGCCAGGCCTGGGGTTGGGGCCCATGAGCGAGCACCTGGTGGCCGGGCTTTTGCCCATGGGGCCGGGCCCAGCCCGAACCGGTTACATGGGCTCATCCAACTGTGGACCCACCACCCACAGGAGGAACATGAAGGGTCCGGTGCAATGTGGATCGGGTGGCAGACCAAGGCGGGAGCCTTGGAGGTCTGATCCCCGGACAAGAAAACAGTTTTTTGGGAAATGGAACGTTACCTCGCTGGCAGGGAAGGAGCAGGAGCTTGTGGCAGAGGTTGAGCGGTACCGGCTAGATATAGTCGGACTCACCTCGACACATAGCTTTGGCTGGGCAGCATGGGCTGGGGTTGGCTTTTTGTTAGCCCCAAGACTCTCTGCCTGTTTGTTGGGGTTTACCCCGGGGGACGAGAGGATAGCTTCACTCTGCCTTCGGGTCGGGGAATGGGTCCTGACTGTTGTTTGTGCTTATGGGCCGAATATCAGTTCAGAGTACCCACCCTTTTTGGAGTTCCTGGGACGAGTGCTAGATAGTGCTCCATCAGGGGACTCCATTGTCCTGCTGGGGGACTTCAATGCTAACGTGGGCAATGACATCTTGACCTGGAGGGGTGTGATTGGGAGGAACGGCCCGCCTGATCTGAACTCGAGTGGTGTTTCGTTATTGGACTTCTGTGCAAGCCACAGTTTGGCCATAACAAACACTATGTTCGAACATAAGGATGCCCATCGGTACACTTGGTACCAGGGCAGCCTAGGTCGCAGGTCGATGATAGACTTTGTAGTTGTATCATCTGACCTGCGGCCGTATGTTTTGGACACCCGAGTGAAGAGAGGAGCGGAGCTGTCAACTGATCACCACCTGGTGGTGAGTTGGATCAGATGGCAGGGGAAGATGCCGCGTACACCTGGCAGACCCAAACGCATAGTAAGGGTCTGCTGGGAACGCCTGGCAGAAGAACCTGTTAAGACGGTCTTCAACTCCCACCTCCAGCAGAGTTTTGACCGCATCCCAAGAGCAGTGGGGGACATTGACTCCGAGTGGGCCTTGTTCCATTCTGCGATTGTTGAGGCGGCTGTTGCTAGCTGTGGTCACAAGGTGGCCGGTGCCAGTCGTAGTGGCAACCCCGTACCCGCTGGTGGACACCAGAGGTTCGGGGAGCCGTCAGGCTGAAGAAGGAGGCCTACAGGGCGTGGCTAGTCTGTGGGTCTCCGGAGGCAGCAGACAGGTACCGGATAGCCAAGCGGGGTGCAGCAGTGGCAGTTGCCGAGGCAAAATCTCGGGCGTAGGAGGAGTTTGGTGAGGCCATGGAGAAAGACTATCGATCGGCTCCACGATCCTACACGCCGCTGTGTAGTTGTTTGACTACCTCAGACGTTGCTGAGGTAGTCAAACAACTACACAGCGGCGGAGCCCCGGGGGCGGATGAGGTTCGTCCTGGGTATCTCAAGGCTATGGATGTTGTAGGGATGTCATGGTTTACACGTCTCTGCAACATTATGTGGTCATCGGGGGCAGTTCCTGTGGAGTGGCAGACCGGGGTGGTGGTCCCCATCTTTAAGAAGGGTGACCTGAGGGTGTGTTCCAACTATAGGGGGATCACATTCCTCAGCCTCCCTGGAAAGGTCTACTCCAAGGTACTGAAGAGGAGGGTCCAATCGATAGTTGAATCTCAGATTGAGGAGGAGCAATGTGGTTTTCGTCCTGGCCGTGGAACTGTGGACCAGCTCTATACCCTTGCAAGGGAGATGGAGGGGGCATGGGAGTTTGCCCAACCAATCCACATGTGTTTTGTGGATTTGGAGAAGGCTTATGACCGTGTCCCCAGGGGCACCCTGTGGGGGATGCTCCAGGAGTATGGGGTGGGTGGCTTTCTCTTAAGGGCCATTCAGTCCCTTTACCAGAGGAGCGTGAGATTGGTCCGCACAGCCAGTAGTAAGTCGGACCTGTTCCCGGTGAGGGTTGGACTCCGCCAGGGCTGCCCTTTGTCACCGGTTCTGTTCATTACCTTTATGGACAGAATTTCTAGGCGCAGTCGTGGTGAGGAGTGTGTCGAGTTTGGTGGCAGGAGAATCTCATCTCTGCTTTTTGCGGATGATGTGGTCCTCCTAGCTTCATCCAGCTCTGACCTTCAGATCTTGCTGGGTAGTTTCGCAGCCGAGTGTGAAGCAGCTGGGATGAGGATCAGCACCTCCAAATCTGAGACCATGGTTCTCGACCGGAAAAGGGTGGCTTGCCAACTCCGGGTCGAGGGAGAGGTCCTACCTCAAGTGGAGGAGTTTAGGTATCTCGGGGTCTTGTTCACGAGTGAGGGTAGGAGGGATCGGGAGATCGACAGGCGGATTGGTTCAGCGTCCGTCTGCAGTGATGCGGACGCTGAGCCGATCTGTCATGGTGAAGAGGGAGCTGAGCCAGAAAGCCAGACTCTCGATTTACCGGTCGATCTACGTCCCAATCCTCACCTATGGTCATGAGCTTTGGGTAATGACCGAAAGAACGAGATCGCGGATACAAGCGGCCGAAATGAGTTTCCTCCGTAGGGTGGCCGGGCTCAGCCTTAGAGATAGGGTGAGGAGCTTGGATATTCGGGAGCGACTCGGAGTAGAACCGCTGCTCCTCCAGATTGAAAGGAGCCAGTTGAGGTGGTTTGGGCATCTGGTCAGGATGCCTCCTGGACGCCTCCCCGGGGAGGTGTTTCGGGCATGTCCTGCCGGTGGGAGGCCCCCGGGTCGACCCAGGACACGTTGGAGAGGTTACATCTCCAATCTGGTCCGGGAACGCCTTGGTGTCCTGCTGGAGGAGCTGGTGGAGAAGGCCGGGGAGAGGACAGTCTGGAGCTCCCTAGTTGGGATGCTGCCCCCGCAACCCGGACCTGGATAAGCGGAGGAAGACAACGACGACGACATTTATATGAACACAGAAAATATATATTTCATAAACTGAAAGCAGAAATTAGATATTCATTTTGTTAACTAGTATTGACCCTTTGCACCGATGTCACCTAAATACGTGGGTCCTTGGTGGACGGCAAAAGCATGTAAACAGTGAGCGACACGATTACTAAACAAAGGGAAAAGTAGAGCCTGAAAATGTTTTTGCGATCAAAACAAAAACAAAACTTCTCCAGCATTCCTTCAACTAGTTCATGCCCAGTTCAGTTATCAGAAGAAGTAGCGCATCTAGCGGGAGCTCAGAGCGCGGTATGTTAACTAGCTTACCAACGTTAGCTTACGTTCTCTCTGCAGCTGTTCACCGATGTAAACATGTTGCTGACTTTGCCTAGATTCACCCCTCTGGATTTATAACTTTATGTTGTAAACAGCGTTTCACTTTACACCAAAGCTGATTTTTAAAAAGTCCGGATCCCAACCAGCTTCTGTTGCTGGTGGTGTTACCGGGTTCAGCTGCTGCTCTCACACCGGAATGAGAAGATCTTTGAACACCGACGCTCATATAAATAAATAACGTAATTTTAACACATGTAATCATATGTCGGAGCTTTAATACTGTTAATAATTGTCTCGCTTTACAATACAGTGGACGGCGCGCATAATCCGTGGTGAAATACCCATCCATCAGGATTATCAATAACTTGTATAAACACATCACATTTATCCCTGTTCCTGTCTTCCTCGTGAAATAAATTAACGTTAATCTTACCCGGTAAAACATGTTCGCTGCAATTCTGAGGCCTGCTAGTCCACTTGATTGATCGCTGCAGTTCGTCTCCGTCCTCAGTCTCCATCAAAGTTATTAAAAGAAAAAAACGAGTTGAGTTTACGTCCTTGTCTCTTAGTGCAGCCAATCACGCAGCAAGCTAAAACCATTTTACTGTCAAATCAACTAAATAAAAGCGATAAAAGGCTAAAAACTGGCTTGTTTTGACTACCTTCACTGGAGTTTCTATGGGTGTAAACTGTCTTTTTGCCGTCCGTCATGGCGAAGGGGGCGTTCACATGAGTGGCGTGACGTCACGTGCAAAGAGTCAATATGGTTCTCCGTATGCTGGATTCATGGACATGGTTGGGGAGGGGGGGGCATGTCAACACAGTCAGTTATTCACCCATTCACAGGCTGCCGAGTGCTGGTGCCACCAGCAGGCAAAGGGGGTCAAGGACGCAATGACACCAAAAAACTGAGGGGGCTAGAACCTGCAACCTTCCAATTATGGGGCGAGCACATAACTCCTGTGCCACTCACTGTCACCCCAAGACATGCGTGGACATGCGGCACCATCCACTGACACAAGCGCTTTGCTGCATGTCCGCATATTCCTCATAAAAAATAATAAATAAATAAATCTAATGTCCTAGAGACCTAGCAGCACATCGAAGAACATCTTGCGAATGAAGTCTGACGAAATGAACATTTTTGCAACCCTTCATTGAAAGACGTGTAACTTTACTTGTGGATGGAAGCCGCGGGAAACGTGGGTTTGGAGGCCAGCCGCAGGAATAGGTGGAGGAGAATGAGAGAGAAATTTGCAAGGGTAAGAACTCACAAATACATTTACACAACACAAATACACAATAGTAAATACATTATCGTCGACCAGAGACATGTCTGAGATGGCAGCAGACCCCTCCCTCCGAAAAGCAGTGCGCCTCTTGTTGTCCTGGGAGAGAATTGCTCCCCAGGCAACGGAGAAGTCTTAAAGGAAAATGTCTCCATCAATATGTGTCTCTGCACCCGATCTGACAGAAAAGTATAAACTAGGCTTCAGATTTTTTTGGCCCAAGCACAAGCTTCCCTAGCCTGTCTCCACGCTGCATCTCTGGTTCCAGTAATCAGGACGGCTAGAGATAAAGATGTGAATAACCTTTTCAAGTTCAAGTTTTGACACCAACCTTCAAAGTTTGGAGATATTTCTCAAATGATAAAAAGTTCCATCCTTGTGTTTTTATGTGACCTTCAAAAGACATTGACTGGTGAAAAACTCCCAAAGTCCTCCAATTTGACTTGAGGGTAGACGTTACATGACCAGCTTGTTGCCTGATCAGTGGAACCATGTGCTGCCTTTTAAAATGTCCACTTATGTAGCTTATAGAGATCTACAATGTTAAAAAATCCTACAGTATAGTAAAAGTATAATTTATTATAAAAGTAAGATACTCTAACATGTTTGAAACTATTAAAAAACTCCACAAAACTGAAACATCTGAAAATCATGATGATGTTCTGAAGCAGTTTTTAGTTTGGCGCCAGTTATTTTCTGGTGGTCTTGAGCTTGTAAACATGGCAGCAGAAGTTGGTGTTCCTTTGTTCAATGTGAATAATTGTATCTCTATCAAAGAACATCTGGTGAGGATAAGTCTGGAACAAAAACCAAACAAAAAAAAACATTTATTTACTCATCAACACTATTTAGCTTGTTGTTAGTTTATTTTTAAGTTATTCACCTCATCCCAACATTCAACCAGATCAATCTTTCTGTGAAACTGTCCTGTTAGGTTGTCATGGAGTTGGATGTGACTCCTTCCTTCATCTCCTTCTCCATTAGTTACCACTACGGCCAGAAGATCAAGCTCATCTTCAAATTCCAGTATCCGGAAATTCTGTATGGAGAGACTGCTTCAGTCATTCAAGACATTTACTGTAATTACACAATCTAAGTATTTATCGTTATTTATACAGACAACTGACCAAACACAAAATCTAAATAAAATGTACAACTAGTTATTCCTATGCTTAAAGGGGCATTATGGAAGTTTGACAGCCAAAACATGTATAGAAATAATAAATTTATTTTTCATACATTCTCCTGCAATGCCCTGGTCCTATAGAATGAGCCCTGGCATTTTTACAGTGATTGCCTGTTTTTCTGTAAAATCACAGAAAGAGAGATGCTCGGGTCGAGCAGGCTGCTTCATGCACGTTCACGCTCAGGCATAGCCCGTAGTATTTGCTATCCGTAGCTTTAGCAGCAGAGAGTGAGGTAGTGCCAACTGCCAACTCAGTGACTTTGTCGCTGTTCCTAACGCCTAGTGATGAACCTAGCTACATTTCTGAGGACCCTTAGCTACTTTTTTCTAGATTTTTCCTGCAAATTAGCAACAAAATAGCCATTTTCGCTCCGAACCGTTCTTTGAACGTTGTTTCAGCTGTCGTCAAGAATATGTTACAAACACAAAATGTGTCACTGGCGCTATAGCTCACCTAGTAAGACGTATGACTCACATGCAAAAGACCTGGGTTCGATTCTGAATGTGAGCATAGTTTATTTAGAGTGTATTTTTTACATTAATGGTATATTTTTTACAGTAAGATGCCCAAATTTTATTTGAGACTCGCCGAACGGCATTGAATTCACAGATAAAAAAGATGTGGGTTCAACTTTCATTTTGGAACAATTTTTCAAGCAAGGGAGTGATCTGAGCATGCAGAACTGACCCATCTTAAACCTTTGTCGGCTGTGCTGAAGAGAAAGGTACAGAACCAAATTATTTAATTAATCAGCTGCGCATTCTCGTGTCCTCTGTCCTCCGGGCCATACACACACACACGGGGCTTTCTCAGCTGTTATTTTCGTTAAGGAGTGTGCACGTACAGCATGCGCACCTCGTGCACGAGCCTACTATTGAAGCTGCCGTTACGCTTTTGGCCAGAGGGGGCAATCGCAAGCATAAAAATTCAAAACTCTGTAAAGTCCCTTTAAAGCTGTTCTAGCAAATTAGCTTAAAACACATTTTTTCATGCCTCTAAACAACGTTCTAACATAGTATAGCTATACTTATATTGTGAAGATTTAACAAAAAAAATTCATACAGTGACTCTCTGGAATTTGTCTGAAAGCCTCAGCCAATAACACGTTTCAGGCTGAAAGCAACTATTGGACCTTCCAGTTTTCGGTCTTGCCAAACTGCCATTCTTCCCTGGGTCGTACAGTCATTATGCTCTTGCATATTTTGCAGCAAAACACCACTGGTGTGAGAGGTTCGTGGCTCACAGTGTTGGGAGTAATGCAGTACAAAAGAAATTAATTACTGTAATGCATTGTTTTTGCTGTAATGTGGTAATGTAAGGCATCACAGGGAAAGAAAATGGTATTATTTACTTGGTGTAACTGTCAGTAACACAGTAATTACAATGCATTTTTAAACCCAGAATCAAGATGTGGGTTTCCTAAAAATTCAAATTGCGGGAAGCCTGAAAAAAGATCCAGTATCCACATATATTACGTCATTTATGGACTCAGCTTTGTGCAGCGGTAATGGCTCAAATACTCCAGCTGCGTCCTGCGCGCGGCCGCTGTTATATTCACAAAATCGTTCCACCAAAACAAAGTAATTCCTTTGCGATCGTTTATATCAGCCCATATTCTCGTACTTCATGTACTTTTCAGCTGAGTTCATAATCTGTGCCCCGGTGATTTCAACTCATTGCTGCTGGAGTGCAGCGCATATTAAGATTATTATTTTTTTTTTTTTTTTTTGCGTTTGGTAGATCCCTTTGGCTGATTACTTAGAAAGAAGTAAATCTAGGAAACAGTTTTTCTGGAAGACGGAGAAAACATGCAGCATGCAGGAAGGTTAGAGAGGAAGGGCAGGAAATTATTCAAATAAAATCAAAACAACAAAACAAAGTGCTTGAAAAGAAAAAAGTAGGTAGATTTATCCCCAATACACATTTTTACCAGTGAAAATCAATAATATATAAGCATTTAATATTTATACATGTGATAGAATCAGATCACCCCAGAAGTCAGTCCCACATCCAGGGCCGTATCAAGGCATTTGGGGACCAAGGCAAATATAGGCTTGGAGCCCCCACCACCTCACTCCCTGCTCATTTAATAGAAGATGGCAGCGTGCTGAGAGTACAGATTGTTGTTGCTTTTATTTAATAAACAATCATTTTAAAGAACTGTTATTATATCTGACAGTTTTTAACAGCAATCCTAGCTCAGACACCACATCACTTTCCACATATGTGTCATGAGTTCACTGAGTGTCAGATTAACAGATTCATATTGAAGTTGTTTTGGTGAAAGTAACTTAAAGTAATGCAAAAGTAGTGTAATGCCTTATATTTTAAAATCAGTAACATTGTAATGTAATGGATTACTTAAAAATGAGGGTAACAAGTAATAAATAATGCATTACAGTTTAGAAGTAACTTGCCCATCACTGACATTGGCTCAGTAATATCAGAGAAAGAGAAACAGATGACTGCTACCACTTCAACTTTAGGATAAATTACCAGATTCCCAAAAGGAAAAACAAAATTTGAAGCCATGGACCGGAAAAGGGTGACTTGCCAACTCCGGGTCGGGGGAGAGGTCCTACCTCAAGTGGAGGAGTTTAAGTATCTCGGGGTCTTGTTCACGAGTGAGGGTAGGAGGGATCGGGAGATCGACAGGCAGATTGGTTCAGCGTCTGCAGTGATGCGGACACTGAACCAATCTGTCGTGGTGAAGAGGGAGCTGAGCCAGAAAGCCAGGCTCTCGATTTACCGGTCGATCTACGTCCCAATTCTCACCTATGGTCATGAGCTTTGGGTAATGACCGAAAGAACGAGACCGCGGATACAAGCGGCCGAAATGAATTTCCTCCGTAGGGTGGCCAGGCTCAGCCTTAGAGATAGGGTGAGGAGCTCGGACATTTGGGAGGGACTCGGAGTAGAACCGCTGCTCCTCCGGATCGAAAGGAGTCAGCTGAGGTGGTCTGGGCATCTGGTCAGGATGCCTCCTGGATGCCTCCCTGGGGAGGTGTCTCGGGCATGTCCTGCCAGCAGGAGGCCCCCGGGTCGACCCAGGACACGTTGGAGAGGTTACATCTCCAATCTGGTCCGGGAACGCCTTGGGGTTCTGCTGGAGGAGCTGGTGGAGAAGGCCGGGGAGAGGAAGGTCTGGAGCTCCCTAGTTGGGATGCTGCCCCCGCAACCCGGACCCGGATAAGCGGAGGAAGAAGACAACGGCGGACAACAAAAGACATTTGGACATAGAAAACGATGACTGCTGCTTAGCACTATCTTGTTTACTCTGGCAATGTGGGGTTCCGGCAAAGGCGTCTCAGAGAAGATACCCGAGGGGATGGGTAAGTGTTCCGTAACCGTGTTTGCATTCACAACCTAGCTTGTTCTGTAGATTTGCTATAGCAGCATTAAAAGTTCAGAAAATCTTTGTACATTGTCAGATTCATCTGTTTAGAAGTGTTTACGTATACAAGCAACAAAATAATGACACAAGTCTACCTGACCTCTTGACTCGGGTCATCATCCAGCTGCTGAAATCTCTTCTTCACTGTCCGTCCTGATGATGTGACGGTGACTCTGGATGAAGGCTGCAAAAAAAGGAAAGCAGGCACTTTTAAATATTAAGTGTGTAAAAATACAATAAAAACCTGTTTCATTTAATGTACACCCACTTTTCGACTGGTCGTCAGAGAGAAATCCTTAACTATTTTGGATGGCAAAGGACTATCCACCTCACCAACAATTTTCAGGAAACTGCAAGGAAAAGGAAGATAATAAAAAAAAAAACGCTACTATTGCATTTAATACTAATTAAACACTTTTAGGTGGCAGGTTCAATCCAGGCTCTGACCAGAATGCTGCTGTTGTGTCCTTGGGCAAGACACTTAATCTGCCTTGCCTACTGTTGGTGGTCAGAGGGACCAGTGGCGCCAGTGTATGGCAGGCCTCGCCCCTGTCAGTGCCCCAGGGCAGCTACACCAACTACAGGGTGGCTACATTGTAGATTATCATCACCAGCAAGGGAATGGGTGAATGACTGATTGTGTTGTGTAGCCCCTTGGGCGGTTGTAGAACCCTCAGAAAGCACTATATATCTATATGGTTATATAGGCCATTTACCATTTATTTAAATGCTGACTGAAAAACTTACTTGATGATGGTGGGTCCGATGTGGACGACGCTGCTTGAGTTGGTGGGATGAAAAAAGATCACGTCACTTTCGAGGGAGTAGCAGTTCAGGTTCTGTATTCCGTTTGTAGCCTAATTCACAGAGACAAATATACTGTCAGAACATGACATATTCATAGTCATAGTCATATCAAGATGTGTTCAGGTCTATTCCCAGTGTGGCATTCACAAACTTATGATTTAATAGTTTCCATTTCAGGGCTGTAAGGGGGCACAGTTGGTAACACCGTTTCCCTGGGATAAGAAGTTTGCACGTCCAAATCCCAGCTGCAGCCATTCAGTGTGGAGTTTGCATGTTCTCTTCCGCTTTTCTCTGGGTATTCCAACTTCTTGCCACAAGCTAAAATTACGCATGTTAGGCTAACTGGCAACTTTGATGGAATTTAGAACCAATGGGCTTTGTGTTGCTGTTGGCCTAGTAAAAGTTGCCAAAATTATTCTTAAATGTGTGACAGGCAGAAGGCTTTGGTGTCCCCCCAAAGAGAAACGTACGCCAGACCTTCCTCCAGAGAATGTTGAAGTTTAATAACCCCTTCATGTATACTGGAATCTGGAATGGATTGTTTTGGCCCATTTGTTGTACAGCAAGGGTGCAAGGAAAGTAAGAAATACAGATTTGTGTTCATGTGTCTATCACAATGAGCAGGGGTCTCATTTATCAAACATTGCGTAGAATCCTTACTAAAACCGTACTTAAGCTCGGCAAAAAAAAATGTACTTACGCCAAGTAGGTTTGTGATCTATCAAACATGGAGTATGCACAGCTGCACGCAATCTCCGCTTCATAAATCAGAAACTATCTAGAAAGGTTCTCAGCTGCTTTTTAGTCACATCCCGCCCTCACCACGCCCACTTACTGCCATAAATAGTCAATGTAAAGTGCCTTGTGGATCTCATGCATATACATAAGCCGGCTGTTGCAGCGCTCCGCCAATGACGATGGCGACCGTAAATCAAGGCAGATCAAGGAAGAGCTATTTCACAGAAGCAGAAATTGAGGTAAATGTGGGTGAGGTGGAGAAATGAAAGGAAGTGCTTTTGCAAAACAAATAAGAGAAAATCCACGGAGTGGCACAGCATTGCTGAAGCCGTCAATGTTGCGAATTCTTCAGAGAGATCTGTGGCAGATATAAAAAAGGTCCAATTGGTATTCGATCCCCAGACATCCGGGTGAAAGTCACGTGTGCTAACCAGTCACCCAAACGGAGATCTCCCTTGACTAAGTAACCAGGGCGGATGATCAATCGGGTCACAGTGACAGGACACTCACACTGTCACAGGCACATGACATTCTGTCTCAATCTGTCCCCCTGCTGATATTCTGCATTCCGTATTCTGCGCTTCAGGCTGTGTGTGGGTGTGCACGCTCGGGCATGTGCTCGCGCATGTGCGCGCACATGTGTGTGTGTGGGCGCGCGCGCATGTGGGGGGTCTTGTTCTGTGTGAAAATGAAGCGGTACAAGTGATAATGCTGCAGGATTTCATAATTTTATCCTTCTCAGCAGCACTGCAGGTGCTCTCCATGCCCAAAATGTGCGTAAGCCAGGTCCCTAGTCAACTTAAAGTTGCGCACATTTTTCCGCTACGTTTTCTTTCATAAATAAGTTTACGTGGAAAGTTGCTTACGCAGTTTTCCGACCCCGTTTTGTGCGTAAGCAAGCTTGATAAATGAGGCCCCAGGTCACATACAGATGCTCCATGATCCATCTACAGATGCCTTAATCAACTCTCTCAAGTGTTTTATCAGCCTGAGAGGAGCAATTAGTCAACTCCATCGTGAACAGGGCACCAGCTTTGTTGGAGCTAACAATGAATAATGGTCTTAAACAATGTGACATGCATGCTTTTGGATGCATTTCTTGCTAACAAACACAAAAAAATTTAAAAAAATACCAAAAACAGTGCAAGTATATTTTCAATGCTCCACCGGCTAGTTCTGCTTGGGAACCACACACCAGGATTATTTGTGATGTAATAAATGCTACTATTGCTCAGAGTGCAGGGCGATTAGACAGAGCTTCACTCAGAACTGTGTTATATGAAGCTATGGCAATTATTAACATCCATCATCTTTATCAGTTGATATCTCATATAACCAAAGAAGAAGAAGAAAAATATATAATTTCTATAGTGCCTCTCAAGATAAAAATCAAGAGGTGTTTCACAAAAACAAAAAATGTAAAAATCTAAAAAAGAATTTAGAAAATGATTAAAACATATTTAAAATGAGCAAAACATAGACAATTGTGACAAAAAATGGAAAGAAAGAGAGAGAGTGAATAGGAAATAGGAAAATCTGTGGATCCTGAGGAAGGTGGAATAGGTAGAGAGCAGAACACTGAGAGGGTGATGAAGGTCACACCAAAACCAGCTTGAACAAGTGAGTTTTCAGCTGCTTTTTAAAGGAGTCCACTGATCTCAGGATCAGGGGGAGAGAGTTCCAGAGTCTGGGGGCCACAGCAGCAAATGATCTGTCACCTTTGGTCACATCGTAACTTGAATGAAGATGACATTGTTATCATAAAGGACAACCTGCCAAGGTGTCAATGGAAACTTGGGAGAATTACTGACATTGTGGAAAGAGGATGGACGTGTTCATTGGGTTAAAGTACGAGCCAGGAATATAAATTGGGACAAAAGACAAGGTTATAGTTCCAAATCCTCCATTATTGAGTTTCCCATTCAGAAGATAGTTGTACTTCTCGAGTTACACATGTGCAATATAAGCTTACCTCATATGTATTTGGGGAACCATGGTTGTATCCAATTCTTTTTTCTTTTCATTTAATGAGTTTGTGGGAGTGTAAAGGGCAAGCCTAGTGGGGCGTGCTGTGGCACTGCATATTTAGTTCTCCCAGAACTGATGCTGCACACAGATGATATTTAATCTATCAGCTGATGGCCTGGTTGAACGTGATTAGGCGGGTTGCACTTCTTAAATTGTATGAAGTCATCAAGTCTGTCAGCGTTTCATGTAAGACAAGTTCAGATTTTTGCCAATTGTCATTAGTTTGCATCCCTGGCAATGGAATCAAGTTTTCACTGTGCTTACCAAAAGGTTTTTTTTTTCTCTTTGTTGTTACAGACCGTCAAGGGCAACGACACCTATATTTTCCTAAGGAATGAATATGACTGGTTGTCTCTATACATCTGTGATGGATGGCAGACCTATCTAGTTTCTCCCACCTGTCAATGACTGCTGGAGAAACAAGCTTCCTGTGACCCTACTTGGACATAAACATTTCAGATAATGAACATATTTCCATTTAATGCTGAAGAACCAGTGATGTATATAAGTTACATTACATAAAAACATCAAGATGATTGAATTTACCAAAGTGCTGTCCTTGAGTGAACAGATGTGGTGAGTTTCCCTCTGTTGTTTTATCGCTGGGCTGTAAATGTAGTGCCAAGGGTTGCCACCAACCTGGACTCCGTTGTTAGAGGTCACCTCAAAAAGTACTGGGATGGAATCTGCATAATAAAAATAAAAATGTTTGAATCATTTTTGATTAAATTACTCTTGATCACAAGTGCCAGTTGTTTGAAAATTGAAAATTTGGCGGTATGGTAAAAAACGATCAGGCTCTAAAGATGCCACAGACCCGAGAAAATGATTTAAGATATTGAGATTTCACTAAAAATTTCCTTGTGATAATTTTCTGTTTTTTGTTTGTAGCAATAAAATTATGATTCAATGCTAATATAGTTAACACATGTTGACATTATATATGCACCACCAGTGTGTGTGGGTCTCTAGACTTAACAAACTCACCGGTGACCTGGATATTAACTGGAATACCACACGGAAATTCTCCAACTTTTTTGCCTCCAAGAAGTGAACTCTGCTTTCCCAGAGTTAACTCTTCAGTTAGGTACTGAAAACAAAAATTTTAAATTAATTACATTAAAATGCAAACATTTTTGAACAAAAACAGCATTTCCAGCATGCATATATAATCAAAGCATCTTTTAGATGGAATTTCTGGAAAATCTCTGAAGATAAACACATACTCTTTGTACAATGTGTTCAATGCTGTACATCTTTACTTTCTTGTTGCTGTGAGAAACTGCAAGGACACCATGATGCATCAAAACATCAGTAATGCCACTTCCAAACCCCTGAAAGAAATGTAGTGGCATTTAATGAAATATCGCACATTCAAATGTTTAAATTAAGACTTGCAAACCTTCTTATTGATCTCCAAAATGCCCACAATTTGCAAAGGGAAGACACGAAAAATGCCCAGATACATAAACGCACTATGTGTTACACCTGCCTGTAAACAAAAAAGAAAGAATATTTTTTGGGAAAGTACTTTTAAAATTAAAGTAATTCAGCACAAAGCAGGACAAAAAATATAACAAAATTGTATAATTTGTCTTTATAACTTTTAGTAAAATAGGTCATAATGATATAATTTTATGTTCTGAGTAAATACTCATAAAAATATCTAAATTTCAATGATTTTCATTATTTTTTAGTAATAATAATAATACATTTTATTTGTAAGCGCCTTTAAGGACTCTCAAGGTCACTTTGACAAAGGTTAAATAGCACAACAACATCATAAAATCATAGGTAAAACAATTTACAACTGTGAAATACAGGTCATCCAGGATCACTGGATGAATCAAGAAATAAAATATAGATAAAATACTAGGCAATGGTCAAACGCTTCGTCAAGGAACATTCAGTAAATTCAGCAAATCTGATAACATTAAGCACTAATGAATATTTATCCTGGCCCGTAGGTGCGTTCAACCTGTCACACAGAATATGCTTGCCTGAATAAGTGTGTTTTGAGCAAAGATTTAAAATGTTGAACAGAGGTCGCTAAACAAATTGCTGGAGGAAGTTTTTTCCAGAGCCGGGTAGCCTGAGAGTCAAAAGGACATTATTTTTAGTGTATTAAAAATCTGAAAAAACTGTCACAAAATCCAGGACTCTTGATTTGTAAATCTTTTTTGTCTTCTCTATAGTTAATACCTACAATAATTATTATTATTACCACCTGTCTTGATAACGGTGTTTCTTTGTTTTGAACAGATTTAACGTAGAAGATCTCTTGAGAAGAATCCCAGCCAAGATATCTACAAAACAAAAAGATTTTTTTAAGGGTTCAAATGTAAAAGAAATAAACAAAATTTGAATAATTTACAGTCACTCAAGATACTTGAATTTGTAGTTTGGCGAGAGGTAAACACTCTGCAGCTCTTTTCCTGTTTCAGCTGAAAGGCGGAGGAGCCAGTTATTGGCTGTCAAGACTAAAAGGCTGGGATTGTGGTCAGAGGATGTAGGTAAAGTTTGCTCCTGGTAAAACAAACAAATAAAAGGTAAGAAAACACACGATTAAAACCAGGCTGGTCAGGAACCGTGAAAAGTAAAAATTCAAGAAATTAAATATAAATCCAAACAGAAAGCAACTTACCAGTGGGCTCTCACATAGCAGAGCATCTTCAATTTTCTCCTGTGTGGACCTTTTAGGCATTTTGTACAAAATTTGAGGCACAGCATGAACACTAAAAATAGAGGATTTATTTTCTCAGTCACACACTTCTTTGTCATGCGTGATTTAAAAAATCTGCAAAATTATGACTTTTTAAAGGAATTAACATGCTTTAATAGCTTTAATTTATAGTTTATACATAAATGACAGAAACTGTAAATTTTCCAGCTAATGTGGTTGTAAACAGACTAAAGTGGAAAACATCAAGTTAATTATTCATACTTACCAGCTGTAGCAGTTCTGATAATTGTCAAAGTAGATTTTACCATTTTCATACATCACTGGTGACTTTGAGGTCTTGCTCCATACTTTAACGAAACTCCTATTTTCCTAGAGTGCAGAAATACAAAGTTGAAGTTGGTTTTCTTTTTTTAAGTTTCCAAATTGAAAAGGGCAATTCCGACTCATTTTCCACTCCCTGTAGAATAATCTAATCCAGGTTTGAGGAGTCTAGATATTGTAGTTTTTCGGCTGGATTGCCCTTTCCTTTTTGGAAATAAAATTAATCATCCATCCATTTTCATCCGCTTATCCGGAGTCGGGTTGCGGGAGCAGTAGCCTAAGGCCAGAGGCCTAGACCTCCTTCTCCCCAGCCACTTGGCCCAGTTCCTCCGGGGGAATCCCAAGGCGTTCCCTGGCCAGGTGAGAGACATAGTCCCTCCACCGTGTCCTGGGTCTACCTTTAGGTCTCCTCCCGGTTGGACGTGCCCGGAAAACCTCACCAGGGAGGCGTCCAGGAGGCATCCTGACCAGATGCCCGAGCCACCTCAATTGGCTCCTCTCGATGTGGAGGAGCAGCGGGTCTACTCCGAGCCCCTCCCGGATGACCGAGCTTCTCACCCTATCTCTAAGGGAGAGTACAGCCACTCTTTGGAGAAAACTCATTTCAGCCGCTTGTATCCGTGATCTCGTTATTTTGGTCACTACCCAAAGCTCATGACCATAGGCGAGGGTAGGAACGTAGATCGATCGGTAAATTGAGAGCTTCGCCTTCTGACTCAGCTCTCTCTTCACCACGACAGACCGGTACAACGCCCGCATCGCTGCAGATGCAGCACCAATCCGCCTATCAAACTCAGGCTCCAGTTTTCCCTCACTCGTGAGCAAGACCCCGAGATACTTAAACTCCTCCACTTGGGGCAGGACCTCATCCCTGACCCAGAGAAGGCATTCTACCCTTTTCCAAATCAAGACCATGGTCTCAGATTTAGAGGAGCTGATTCTCATCCCAGCTGCTTCACACTCGGCTGCGAACCGCTCCAGTGAAAGCTGAAGATCACGTTCTAATGAAGCCAACAGGACCACATCATCTGCAAAAAGCAGAGACCTGATACTCAGGCTTCAAAACGGATGCCCTCCACACCTTGGCTGTGCCTAGAAATCCTGTCCATAAAGGTTATGAACAGAATCGGTGACAAAGGGCAGCCTTGGCGGAGTCCAACTCTCACTGGGAACGAGTCCGACTTACTGCCGGCAATGCGGACCAAGCTCTGACACCGGTCATACAGAGAGGACCTAACAGCCCGTATCAGAGGGCCTGGTACCCCATACTCCCGGAGTACCCCCCACAGGGCCCCCCGAGGGACGTGGTCAAACGCCTTCTCCAAATCCACAAAACACATGTAGACTGGTTGGGCAAATTCCCACGCACCTGCCAGGATCCCCTAAGAGTATAGAGCTGGTCCAGTGTTCCACGGCCAGGATGAAAACCACATTGCTCCTCCTGAATCTGAGGTTCAACAAGCCTTGCCACAGAGGAGCTTTTTAACCACCTCAGTGACCTCAGCACCAGAGATTTGAGAGGCCAAACCAAAGTCCCCAGGACTTGGGACCGGCCACGGGTGTTGGCTGTCCGCCAAGCTCTGGGGGTTTCCATGCTGGGCCACCGAGTTCCACCCACCTCCGCAACTGGTCTTCCCTTTTGGTGGAAGCGGAGGAGGGTGGAGGGCACGGGGGCTAGGACCCCGACAAAAACTTGGATTGAGGGCTGACTTTCAATGGATCGCCATGTCTGGAAGGCTTTACCAAAACGTCCCTCAGAAAGCCACGCCTTCCTTCAGATACAAAAATGTTTTTAACTTTAATATGTATCTTATTGTAATGTGTATGAGTGTAAACAATGATTAACTTGTTAAATCAAACACATAGTGATTTGTGATATAAATGGATCATTGTAAGAACAATATTCATTCCAAATTCATTGATTTAAGCACAGGTTATTCAAACATTTGATTTAAACATCTTGTTCATTCATCACATGATTATTTAACTTATAAGTTGTAAAGCCTTGTAGGATTTGTGTGTGTTCACTTTTATTCAGAGTGAGGAATCCAGCAGTCTGGGCAGAGAGAGAAGGGCTTTTGCGGGAGACCTTGACAGTTTATGTCTGCGCTGAAGAACAATGAGTGAGCGAAAGGTTCATCTGTGCGTCTGGATTCTCCAGTTGGTGTAACCTTGACTTTGCAGCTCTGGCGTGCATGAAAGATAACTGTGTTGATTCTATGATGAAAATTGATCATTTTGATTCATTACACTGTGGTGATTTCAGGTCCCACTTGAGTGCCTCGGCAGTTAAAAGGTAAAGATGGATAATGCCCTCTGCTTTGACAGCCCAAATGAGTGGTCTCTTCTTCCTTCTTTGACCTACTTGTCAAAAGGTGAAACCATTTCTGTCAACATGTGATCTTGAAACTGTAATTCATGCATTTATTAGCGCACGCCTGGACTATTGTAACTCCATCTTATTTGGTGTGGGGTAATTTAGCTCGATTGCAACTCGTGCAAAATGCTGCTGCAGCCAGATTTTTGGAAGGCAAGCAGAAGTTTGACCACACGCCACAGATTTTGGCAGTTGTCGACTTTAGAATTTGCTTTAAAATTATTTTTTATTAGTTTTTAAAACTTTGGCTTCGCCTTACTTGGCAACCTTGCTACAGCCATATGTCCCGGCTAAGACGTTCCGCTCAGAGAACCATATGTTGCTCTCGATCCCAAGGTCTCATTTGAAGATGAGGGGGGAAAGGGCCACCTCATAGGGAGGTCCAAAGCTATGGAACAAGCTTCCGCTGTTGATCAGGGCTTCTACCTCTGTGACAGTTTTTAAAACAAGACTGAAGACCTACTTTGAATTGCTTCTGTGTATGACTTGTGCTACATAAACAAAGCTGCCTTGCCTTTATTGATCTGTTTTTTAATTCTGTGTTAACTTTCATCTGTTCTTATCATGCTACTCACCTTCTTAATCAGTTTTATTCTGTCTGTACAGCATCTTGGGGGAAAACTGTATGTCTGTAATGCTTTATATAAACAAAAAGATGAGTTGAGACAATTATCTTCCATTACCTGAAGAACGAGAGCTCTAAAGACCTTAAATGAGTGTCTGTATAAACTCCCAGCATCTTTGATCCCGCGGCTCCTCATGCTCAACAGCTCTGCGGCGTTGACGGTGCTCTTCCTCTTGTATCGCGCCATCTGCAGGCGGGGCTTTGTCAAATACAGGAAATGCTAACTTTACAGCGTGACCAACAACCACAACATACCTACACAACCAAGAAAACGACGGTAAGAACTGTGCAGCATCGCAGCCACACAACCCTGTAACTATTCACACAGTTATTTTCCTTGAAACCACAGCAGTACCACTGCGCACCGACTATAGCTTAAAGTAAAATTAAAAGAACTTCTAAACCGGGATAGCTATGTTGCTAACTTAATTCAAAACTCGACTATATTTAAGCCATAAAACTATACGAGTGTAAGAAATGTAACATAAATACCGTATTATTACCAGTTATATCGTTTAATACAGTCTTTGATTTTATGCTATCGAGTAATAAGCAGTTTTCTTAGAAAACTTGGTTTTCCCCACCTTATGTTCTGTTCTTCTTCTACGGACAAATTATACGCACACTGCTTACTTCATAACTGCCGCGCCACCAGTCGATTGTTGTTATACATTACAACTTGCTCCGGTAGGAGAATGCTATTGAAGAAAAAAAATTATATATATATATATAATATAACAAAATAAATATAATATATATATAATATAACAAAATAAAACAGGAAAAGATGGAAGTTTAAAACTCTTTTTCAATATTCTTATTATACACAACACCCAGCTGTGTTTTATGATTTACTATAAAGTAATTTGATGATTAATTGATCATGGAGCAGCTTAAACAATAGGCTACAATCAGTTACTGCTCTTGAAATGTTGTTTTATCATAATTGCATTATTCTTAACCATTTCCTTTCTTGCTGGAAATGTATTTATGTGAGCTGTTTTTTGCACCAGCCTCACTGCTGTTTTATGTAAAGAATAAACTATTCCTGCTTTTTACAGAATAAATGTATGGAAAACAGAGCTTCTCCACAGCCCAACTGGCTTCCCATTTCTTTCAAATTTTCATAAGATTAAAGAACAGTGGTGTGAGACCTATGGCTCCACTTGGCTCACGGATTCTGACCAATCCAGATGACATCTACAAGCACAACATGTGGTTGGTGATATATTATTGCTAATGCTAAAGCTTTATGTGTCTATTTTTTAGACTTCTTGAATCTAAAAAACATGCATAAAATAGAAAATGACTTGTTTCAGTTTAAAGAAAGTCAATAGTTATTTGAGTTTTATCTCCTCTGTTAGGGATCATGTACAGTGGACGGAAGAGGACAAAGAAAATGCACGACAGAAGGCAGAAGAAAATTCTAGAACAAGACTTCCTTTACCAGAGCAAGGCAGGAGAATATTTTTACACAATGTTTTATGAAACCAGGAATTATATAAAAATAAAATTATTTAAAAAGGTGCCTAATTGTCCTTTATCCAGGTAAATTTGACACAAATGCCCACCAGTACTGGGACAAGTTTTATGAGGTGCACCAGGACAAGTTCTTCAAAGATCGCAGGTGGCTGTTTTCAGAATTCCCAGAACTGCTTCCTTCATGTGCCAAAGAAAGGAGCACAGGCGCACGCTGTGGTGATCACCAGGCAGGAATCTCAATTCGTAGTATATCCATGACTGACACAGAGTCTGGGAACCATCAACACAATGATCCTATTCAGAGCTGCAGAAAAACAGACATGCTTTACGTTCAGGAAGCAGCGGAGGAGCAAAATGAAGCCGTCACACAGGCCACTTCTTTTCCAGGACAACATTCTTCTTTCAGGATCTTGGAGGTTTAAAAAACAATCATGAGTTGCATATTTTTCATGTTATTTACAGAAATGTATGTGCTCTTCTGTCCCAGTAACAATGTTATTTATTTGATACTATAAAATGTTTTGCATTTTCTCTTTTTTACAGGTTGGATGTGGAGTTGGAAACAGTGTATTTCCTATCATCAATACCATCAAGTGAGCAATATTTTTTATTGATTACATTCTAATACATTATTGTAAAATGTTTTCATTGCGAAAAAATGTATTAAAAATGCGTGAAATTCTAAAAACATTTATGAAGTTATGACTCTTGATTAAAAGAGAAAAAGTGGCCTAAAACACCTAAAAAATGAAATGTTTAATCGTTTTATTATTTGAAGCAGATTCAGAGTTTTTGCTCAAATGCAACAGGAGAGAGGCAGAAAATGTGTTGCACCTTAAAGCCCCTCTCTCTACTTTCGTGATTACGAGAGGTGTGTGTTATGGCAGGAAGCAACACCTCTGTGTTTGACATCTGTACGTAAGCGAATGCCTAAAGGTATTGGCTAATGCTAAGTGGCGCTCACTTCCAATTGCATGGGGCTCTATGGGACAGGGGTGGGCATAGCAACAAAATTACATATTGCCTACATTATATTACAGTACAGAGTAAGACTATCACTTTTATAAATTAAAAAAAAAATCACACATAATTCCTAATGGGGAAAACTCCTGATTTTGCTTTAAGAATGAGCTTTTTGTTTTTACAGGAATACAGACTCATTCATTTACTGTTGTGACTTCTCTCCATGTGCCATTCAGCTGGTTAAGGTGTGTACATATTAAAATGTCAGTCAACACAACTGTTTATTTATTTGTTTGTTGATTTATTTAACCTGTGGCAGTGGTGCAGTGAGGCAACAGAGCTACCAGCCACGTCACCATTCAGCCCATTTAGTGGAACAAGGAGACAAATTCCAATTTCCTAAATTAATCCGTCTGATGTGTGAGGATTTAGTCTTCAAACATGATGCACAGAGTATGTGCAGAAATAAAGTTAGATTATTATAATCTAACAGTGTAAAGCTTCCCTTAACATTTAAAAGTCTCTCTTAGAGGAATAGAAAAAATATTTCACTGAGCCATTTGACTAGTTAAGACTTGGCCAGCAAGATATGATAAAGAAGTGATTTTAAAAAATTGTGTAATACTAACAAAATGTCAGAATAATGCAGAATTCTTAATAGAATTGCTAGAAAGGCGTGGAACAGACACTTTAGTGAATGTGGCCTAATTTATTTTCCTCCTTTAGGATCATTCGGATTACGATGGCGCCATGTGTCACGCCTTCGTTCATGACATTTGTGAGGAGGCGGCCTCTTTTCCCTTTCCTCCACAGAGCTTGGATGTTATCTTAGCTGTCTTTGTGTTCTCCTCCATCCATCCACAGCGGTAGGTGAAGGTTAGAGCAACACAAGCAGGAGCCTGATGTCATTTATCACCTTTGATGGCTCCGAAAATGTCTCCAACCCACCTTCATGTACTACAGCCTTTTCTGAATGTATTGTGCGGCCTGTTCAAGTGTGTGAGGAGTTCAGTTTTAGTTTTTTTAGCTCACTGTGTAATACTTCCTGGTTGTTTCTGTTTGCAATTTTGATATTTGAGTGCATTCTTAGTAGGGATGTTCAATATCAGCGTTTTTAATAATATCTGGTCAATCAAAATCTGGTAAAACTCTTAATTTTCCACACTGATAAAAAACCAATAGCAGTACATGTGGGGTGCCCCATCATATTAAAAGAAAAACAAAGTCATTTTAGGCAACTAACATCACATATTTCATGCATTCCTAAACATTATCTGTGCAAAATAGAACTACTTCAATTTAAGTTTCGCTACTTGTGCCGAACAAACAAAAATATCTCCAACCAAACCTCTGATCTGTCATATATTGATATTTTGAGTGAGAGGAGAAGTAGCTGAAGAGTTTGATGTATAATATGTGCGTAGTATGTAAATGTTGTGTCGTTAAAAAAATAAAATCCAATACCGATATTTGATATTACATTTTAATGCTACTAACGACCAATAATATCGAACATCCCTACTTTTTATTGCACATTTTGATCTTTATTTAGGTACGTTTGATTTTGTCGACAGGATCCACGGAGTTGTGAACCGACTGTCTGCTTATTTGAAACCTGGGGGGGTATTCCTCTTCCGTGATTATGGGAGATACGACTTCTCACAACTCAGGTTTAAAAAGGGTGAGGCTCCCCATCTTTATAATAAGTAATTTGACCTAATTTATGGTGCAAACTATTTTAAACTTATCACTTATTTAATCTTTACCATCAGGGCGATGCTTAGCTGAGAATTTCTACACACGTGGCAGCGGAACCTGTGTTTATTTTTTCACAAAAGGTACAAATCTGAAGATGTGCACTTTATTTTATTCATGGAATGAAGTTTATTTGATCATTTGTTCGATTTAGGAAATTTAGATCAGTGTAGTTTAACGGTGAGGTTGACTGAAAAAAACATTTTTAAATTATTATTTCTGATTATAATTGGTCACTGAGTTTTTCATGCAGGCTGAACATGAAAACAGTCTTCTACACCTATCTCCTGCATTAGATAGGAAATAGATGGTGAAGTGCTAGGATTTAAAAATCCACAAACTGTGATGTCACACTGAATTAGCATTCATGGCCTCGCCCATCTTGGCTTGTGCCCGCCCACAGGAAGGCTTTTTTGGTTTTTTATTTGCAGCGAGGAGAGAGAGCGGAGTGTCTTGGTGATAGTGACTTTGCAACATGGCTGAACAAGTTATATTATCCAATCAGAAGTGAGGTGTGTGCATATCAATAATAATTATGAGCAAACCTGCCAGTTCCACCAGCAAACTTCTGCATCTCAGAACAGGAGTATCATAGATTTTTTTTAATGAGGCATTGATTTTCAGTAGAGAACACTACAAATGTATTGAATTAATGAATAAATCTAAAAAAAAAACTGTGAAGGCATCCTTTCTGTTTTGGTGAATATTGTAGGGTAAAACTAATGTTGCATTTTATGTATTTTATTTTGTAGATGAAGTTCATGATTTATTTACAAAGGCTGGACTGGAGAAAGTTCAGAACCTGGAGGACAGACGGCTACAAGTGAACCGAGCAAAGAAAGTTGCGATGCATCGGGTGTGGATGCAGAGCAAATACAGAAGACCACAATCTCTATCCTGATATTCATCACTGCACAAATGTATTTATATATACTTTTAAACATAACTTGTACTCAATTTTTACTTTAATTGTAGATAGTTTTATTTGAAACTTAAAAGAATGTATCTTGCAACAATAAACTAAAAAATGCCAAATGAACTATGGTTGTTTTATAATAGGAATGTGTATTATATCTTGCAATTTTAAAAGCCATGTGATAATTGCCGTTTTTAAAACTTTTTAAGAATTTTATTGGAAAACTCAGGCCAGACGCTTCCAAGGCACCTTCAGTATTATTTGTCCAAAGACTGTAGAAGGACTGTATTAGCGACAAAACAAGGAGATCTTGCGATAAGACTTCTCTCTCTCTATATATATATATATACACAGTATATATAAAATATCTTTATATATATATATATATATATATATATATATATATATATATATATATATATATACATATATATATGTACATATATATATATACGTACATATATATATATATATACATATATATATATATATACATATATATATATATATATATATATATATATATATAAGAGAAGTATTATCGCAGTATATATAGAAAGGGAAGTATTATCGCAAGATACAATTCAATTCAAGTTTATTTATATAGCGCCAAATCACAACAAGAGTCGTCTCAAGGCACTTCACATAATAAACATTCCAATTCAGGTCAGTTCATTAAGCCAATCAGAAATAATGTTTCCTATATAAGGAACCCAGCAAATTGCATCAAGTCACTGACTAGTATCAGTGACTTTACAGCAATCCTCATACTAAGCAAGCATAAAGTGACAGTGGAGAGGAAAACTCCCTTTTAACAGGAAGAAACCTCCAGAGGATCCTGGCTCAGTATAAGCAGCCATCCTCCATGACTCACTGGGGATCGAGAAGACAGAGCAGGCATGCACGCGCGCGCACACACACACACACACACACACACACACACACACACAAAGTAATGTGTATAGCTATATTATGATTTCTTAGTAAATATTCTATTTGGTGAGAGATAAACTTTATTGTATTTATCCTAGTGGACCTATAATTAAACGGATAAACTAGCAGTAGCACATCCAACGTCAAGGAAAGCAAAAAGTTATTATCAGGAGAGGGAGAATGTTTAAGTGGTTAGCAGCAGTGTGCTAGATGATGGCCCCCTCCATGAGGCCACCACAGCTCAGCAGAACATCATTGTAGCTATTCACTATTATTACTATTGTGTAGATCTCCTTGTTATGTCGGAATAAAGGTAGTAAAACTGCTGCCACCTTGCAGCTGAAGTTTGAATTACATCCACACAAAAGAAATAGGCCACAGTAGATATTTGCATGTAAATTCTCAATAAATAAATAAATACACTGATTTTATATGCCAGTTCAGTGTCATGAAACATTGGGATATTTTACTATCGGTATTTTATTTACATCCTTATATTCTAGCTTTATATTTTGCTGGATTTATATGCAAAAATTATAACTCCATTGAAGACATTTCCCATTGCACAGCACAGAAATTAAGGGGTTTGAAGAACAAAACGTAACCCCAAAATGTCATAAAACTAAAATAAGAGACTTGTTTTCAATGCATTATGAATTGCTGCAATTATACTCATTCCCACATTTTAAGACAGAAAATATTACATAGAAATCAAACGTTTAAGCTCAGATGAATTTATTAAAGTCATTAAATTATATTTAATTGGTTTAGATTTCTTCCTCATACTTTCTAGTGACTTTGCCTTTATCAGTTTAAAAAGTCGATGCAATTCGTATTTATTGTGCTCATTGAAACGAAATGAACAGTCCTGGCTTTTCATGCCACGCTCGTGCAGAAAGCATGAATCGCCCTCGCGATAAGAATTTTTGCACACGCCGCGTGACGTTACAAAAACGGAGAGAGAGAGAGGTGGCCCCGGAGCCCGGCGGACACTGCTGAGGTGTGGAGAGGTTTGTGCCCAGAAATCATAATTATTACCCATTTCCACTCACTGGCATCCGGTGTACCTGTGTGAAATCAGAAATAGGATATGCCAGTCGACTCCTTTCCCCGTCCGCGTGAGCGAGTGGCCGTATGCGCTGCAGTATCGAACATTTAAAAAGTAGCTTGATGAGAATCCAAAGTAGTGGAAGTTTGGAGGGGACGCCATCTTTGGTCCCAGCTCTCCACGTCCCCAACACGGACTGTGTGTTTTCAGCAGCATACAACGGCAGTGCTGAAGGCCTAGGAAGGTATCGTGAAATATCTTAAAACATATATGTCTTTTCTACGTGTTTGTCTTTGTATTTTGCGTAAAATGAAACGAAACTACAACAAAAAAGCCCTTCTCCGAAGGAATCGTGGTAGCGAAAGCTCCTCGCTAGCGAACGTTACAGTCAGCTTTCAAAGTCCATTGAGTCTGTTGGGTTAGCTGGTAGCACCGAAGACAGGACCCGTTCAGAGCTCAGGCCAGTGCATTAACCTTTACGCAGATAATAACATGCACCACGGTGATAACGCTTGACTAAAGAACAGAAATGTTAGCGTCGTGGTCGATGCACCCTTTATCGATCACGATGCTGTACGAAGGGCAAACACAAACGAAAATCATCCTAAATGCAAAAAGCTATTTCTGGAAGTGGTTAATGTGTCGCTGCACTGAATGTAAAGGTGTGCATCGCATCGTTAGCGAACCCTTTGTGTCCTGGTTGAGGTGTTTACATTCAGCATGTGTTAACTGGCGTTAATTTACAATCTTAACAATACAGATGCAGCTTGAGTTAAATACGAACATATTTGTGATGTAAAGTATGTATGTACATATCTCTTTGCTATGCTAGATGGATAGTAGCCATGTTTGACCTTTTCTCATAAGTTTTTTTAACTGCAGGGGTATTACTTTTAATTATGTGCTAAATAACATGTAAACAAATCTTATTTAATGCTAATCTCCTTATCTGACTAGTTTAAACTGTAAGCAGGTTTTCTTGTCCTTATCAGTGCAACATACACTGATTTACAAGAGTGATGGCTGTCTACCTAATGTCACTTGTAATTATTAGAAGCTGTCATTTCCTTCCTGCAATTTTTTCATTTGTAGTTGACAATGAATTAAGTAAATAGTTCACCCAGCCATGCCAGATGATGGTTTAAATCTGTGTCACTGTGCTGAAAAAACAGGTGGTCACTGTGCTGCTGAGCAGCATGGAGTTAAAATGACATCCAGAGCTGTAAGGGTTCAACCTCTTGCTCGTGCAGGGGCTTGAAAATAGATAACATTTATGCACTGAAGCTTTTGTGTGCAGCACCGTAAAAAACCCCTTTAATAAAAGCATACATGCAGCTCGAGAGTATTGTGTGAAACTGTTGTGAAACTCATCAAAGTTTCACCTACTTATCATCTTGTTGGTTGAGTGCTTGCAACAGCAGCTTCTTAAGGATCTTTTGCGATCCATCCATGAATTTTCATCCACTTAATCCGGAGTCGGGTTGCGGGGGCAGTAGCCTAAGTCAAGAGGCCCAGACTTCCCTCTCCCCAGCCACTTGGGCCAGCTCCTCCGGGGAAATCCCAAGGCATCCCCTGGCCAGGTGAGAGACATAGTCCCTCCAACGTGTCCTGGGTCTACCTTTAGGCCTCCTCCCGGTTGGACGTGCCCGGAAAACCTCACCAGGGTCCAGGAGGCATCCTGACTAGATGTCCGAGCCACCTCAGCTGGCTCCTCTCGATGTGGAGAAGCAGCAAATCTACTCCGAGCCCCTCCCGGATGACCGAGCTTCTCACCCTATCTCTAAGGGAGAGCTCAACCACTCTGCGGAGAAAACTCATTTCAGCTGCTTGTATCCACGATTTCGTTCTTTTGGTCACTACCCAAAGCTCATGACCATAGGTGAGGGTAGGAACGTAGATTGACCAGTAAATCGAGAGCTTCGCCTTCGGATTCAGCTCTCTCTTCACCATGACAGACCGGTACAACATCCGCATCACTGCAGATTCAGCACCGATCCGCATATCGAACTCAGGCTCCAGTTTTCCCTCACTCGTGAACAAGACCCAGAGATACTTAAACTCCTCCACTTGGGGCAGGACCTCATCCCTGACCCGGAGAGCATTCTACCCTTTTCCGAATCAAGACCATGGTCTCAGATTTAGAGGAGTTGAGTTTTTGAGATCATCATCATCAAAATGCTGAGCAAATGGTGAAAAATTTGCATCATCACAAAATGATCCACCTCTTGATGCAGATATTGTTTAAAGTCACACAAAAAAAGTGTGGAGAAATATGAAAAGACTTTTATTTGTTGGATTATCAGTTGAGAAGGAGAAGGAAGTAGAACGATTTCCCTGGGTATAGACCGATATATCGGGCCAATGTCTACCATTTTTTTATTTATTGCATCATCCCATATGTCTTTTTAGTAGAACTGATTAAAAAAACTGGCACATTTGGGGGCAGCCTGCTGCCAAGTTTTTTTAAACATAAATTTGTGTTATTGAAACATAATCTGTTTAGTACATGCTGTAAAACATTGTCAGCTCACATTTCTTTTTATTTACTCGTTTTGTATTTAATGCTTGGTCAGTTTATTGATTTGTGTTGGAGCTATTTATACTTTGTGTTATTTTTGTGTATTTTCTTTAAATTTGTGATTAGTTCACTTTATGTTTTTTTGAAGCATTTATAAAGTTTATTTGTACCGTAATTTCCGGACTATAGAGCGCATCTCAATATAAGCCGCACCAACAAAAAAAAAGGTTTTCTACACACACACACGCCACACTCGAATACAAGCTGCAGTGCAGCAGCCACATGCAGGTCTCCGGCGCACAGCACATGTACGGCCATAACATAAGATGATTAGACAGAAAGACGCTACACAGAGGTTTTTCGATGTTGTTTTAATCCAACAAAATGAATTTTAAACACAGGTGAAAGTGCCTGCAAGTTTAGAAAAGAAAACAGCACTGATAGCATTCATATTTCTGGATGGTTATAAAATAAAAACAGCACTGACACGCTTTTACCGGTAATTTGCATGTTTAGAAGAAAAGAACAGCGCTGACACAGCATCAATAAGCCCCGGATGATTAGAAAATAAAAACTGCACACAAAACTTGCCTGGTTAGTAAATAAAACACACTTGCCTACCAGAAAAAGTCATTCGCTCTCATCTTCCTCTTGCACACTAAAGCCATTAAAGTCCTCTTCTTCAGTGTCGGAGTTGAACAGCCTCAGAAGAGCTTCGTCACATACCTTTTCAGTGGCGATGTCGGTGTCGCTGTCCGTGTGTACTTCCCGCTGCCGTCTCCAGCGCCGAACCATGGATTCATTCATGCCAAGCTTATGTGCGGCAGCACTGTTTCCCTCCTTTACTGCCAGATCGATGGCCTTCAACTTAAATGCGGCAACATATGAACTCATACGTGTAGTTACCATGATGGGGGGTATGGATTTGAAAAAAAATACTTTGTCGTGCCGGCTGCTTGCATGTGCTAAATTAAAATGAGCACTTTCTTCGATTTCCACTTTTGACTTCCACGTGTTTCACTTTCTGCTAAAGCGCCCCCTGGCAGGTGAAGGAATATCTACAGTAAAGCCGCACCTCATTATAAGCCGCACGGTTGAAAGCATGGGAAAAAATTAGCGGCTTATAGTCCGGAAAATATGGTAGATCAATATTCATTTATTTTAGTAGTTTGTTCTGTTGTTTACCTTTGTAAGTCAGTCAGGAAAAATAACAGGGTAATTTTTGTATAAGTAGGCACTGGTATAGGACCAGCATACACTGGGGTGGGCGCATGTTATTTATTTATTTATTTTTTACCAAAGCAGGAGAAGCAGCAGGAAACAATGGAAAACAGGATCTGTGTTTTATTGCTTGCCAACCTGGAAAATAAACCTTGAAGAAAACGCAGCTTTCGAGTTTGGACATTGAACTTCTTCTGCCTGCGTACGAAACATTACCACAGTGCAGCAGTGGCTTTTAAATTGGAAAATATGAAGTTTGTTGACAAAGGAACTGCCTCTACATAAAGTAAAAAACCCAGCCCATGGAACAGAAGGAATGTTCCCTCCCTGATGGACATGTTGCAAAAGTGGATCTTGAGGATCGTCATCAAACAAAAGGTTGGATGTGATCCTTTTTGAGGAATTCAATTAGACTTCCTGCTTCAGGCCTGGGTCATCATGTCACTGACTCATCAAAGTTGGCTAGTGAAAATGTTGTTTAAACCTTCAAGGAAAATGGTGAAAGAAGATTAAAGACAATATTTCACTACAAACAAAGACTGATGATGTGCCAAGCTGATGCATAATTGGATGATTGAAAGGTGACAACGCCCATTGTGGAAATGTTTGCTTGCTGCAATCTACAATCCTAAACAAAGAAAAGTGTCTGTGCTTTATGCTAAGGATTCTCTGAGTTCTGTGCAGTTTTAAGTGACAGAAATAATTAATAAAACTGCTAAAATGTCTGATGTCTAAAATAAACAAGAGGATGACACTCAAATGCTGAAAGAGAAAAGAAACATTAAATTCACGCCAAAGGGTCTGGAGCTTCACATTAAAACATGCCAAGAAAAACTGAGTTCAATGTGTAAACAAAGCTCAAAGTACATGAAGAAAAAATCCAATTTAATTACGTCACATGAAAATGTTGGTCTTCTGATTTGGCCAAATTTATTAAGTGCTATCAAGGCGCAGCAGATGTGCATGAATCGTTTTTAAGTTTGCCATTGCCAGAAGAGGAACTGAAAAGACAAGTGGTGTACTTTAAACCCAAGGTGAAAGCATTCTCTGAATTTAAAGACAAAGTAAAGGTTTAGTTGCAGGAAGCAGGCAATCCCTTCACAGAACAAAACAGATGTTTCTGATGATCAAGTTGCTGAAAATCCGGATGAAATAAACCCTGAAAACAGTGTCTCCAATATTTCAAGTGTAAAACTTCGATCAAAAGCCTCTTCTCAATCCCGAATGTCATCAACGTCTTCTGCACGCATCAAGGCTGCGGCTGATCAGGCAGCGCTCAAAGAGCGAGTAGCTGCGTTAAAGAAAAAACATTTGATTGACAATCAAGAGGAAAGGCTGAGAAAGAAAAAGGAGAAATTAGCTTTGGAAACAGAGTTGGCAGCAACCAATGCAAAGCATCACATTTTGGAAATAAACTCAGTTTGCAGTTCAAAACGATCGGATGGAATGAACTCTTATTTTGGAAGAGGCCATGTGTAGAAGCCGACTCAGCTAAATCCTAATGC